TCTCCAGGTCAAGCCCTGGCACCAAGATAAAAGTTAACAACAGCAACAACAACAGTACAAGATAGTCCTGCACCGGAGCCCGGAGCGGAATTGGAGTCCTTGGCAGGGAGCCCTCCCCGTGCTCTCTGGCAAAGTTCAAGTGCTGAACAGATCTGATCTGCAGGAACACAAGAATGGACCTTTCAAAACCAGAATTAGGGGGTAGGTGGGGGAATCTCACATTAAGTTTACCTGAAGGAGGACATTCTTGCCTGGAAAGCACAGTGCAGCACATTCCAGCTCCCGCTACCCGCCGAGTCAAGAGATCCCAGTTATTCCCCAGCCTGGAGATTATTTGCTTTCCCTTCCTAAAATAGGTTTAATGACACTTCCTACTTTCATTGACAGCTTTTCCTGCAGCCACTGAGGACACCAGCACTAGGCTGTGAGGGGATTCCACACGTCCCAGTCTGGGGGAAAAGTGAGGGAATTCAGCAAAATACAGGAGGGGGCACTAAAGTATTTCTGATAGAGACCAAGTGACCTTGTTTACCTTTCAATTAGAACTATGAGATAAGTAGCCATGTGAGACGTTGTCATGCTGTGGTATCTCAGCCAAGTAATCTTTGCACAATCTCCCAACAAATGACAGAATTTAGAGATGATGTTTCCCCTGTTAACTGAGGTCAAAGGGAGTAAAATAACCTACACCAAAATAAGAAGAATGCAACTTCTGACAGGTATGCAGAGGAGAAATCTACAGTGTATTTGTTCAGGAAGAAGAGTAGCTTCCAGGGGAGAAAAGAGCTGTAATTCACAGGTTATTGGTACAACCAGGGCACAGCCAGGAACCCAAACCACCTTACAAGTCTCCTCTCTCAATATACAGAGGAGGAAATTCACTTTTCACTCCAGCTGGATGAAGTCAACGGCCATGAGCTGCCAAGCAAAGGAGAAATCCTGGATTTCCAATCTAAGCTGGCCCAGTCCCGGAGGCCCTGCAGACACCACAGCACATTGTACCTCCCTGCCCAGCTGGGGATAAAATCACAGCAGCACCAACAATCTCACAGGATCACTGCTCTGCAGGGCAACCTCCTAACCACGAACTGCGGGGCTGCAAAGGAACTTTTTCAGTTCAGAACAGGCTCAAAAGGACCCTTTCTTACCTTCAGGACTCTGTGCAGTCACTCCAAGGCTGGTTCCTAAGCAGGCACCCTGTCCCAGTGCCAGGCTGGGCGCACCAACCACTACTGTCCAGGCTAACATTGAGGCATTCTTCCAAATTGCCTATAATAGATGATTAGTTCTGCTTAAGCATCTCAATAATTTATTGAGACTATTTAATGAGGAGTCCAAACAGTGTTGGGTGCGAAGGGCTAAACTCTGTGGGCTTAAAGCAGAGGTAACAGCTGAACTACATCCAAAAATTTGGCTTTCAGCTGATACAAGTGGATTGTCAGGTGACTCTGTACACCCATGTCATTGCTTATGAAACCAGAGCCCTGATGTATAAATACCAGAAGACATCCAGGTTTTATTCTATTTTAAACAAGAATTTGATACAAGATACTGTCTTGGAAGCTAGAAATTAAATTTAGCAATAATCAAGAACAATTTATTAAACAAAGCAGGCCCAAAGTCCTCTCCAAGTGGTATTCACAGAGAAGTTACTTAATCTACCACCGACACTTCAGAAAGCAGCACAGCAACTGTATAACAGCTCACTACAATACAAGGACAACTGTATCCCAGCAGGAGTGACTGGAAGTGCTGATGGAAACTTCTGAACTTAAAAGACACCACCAGCAAAAAAAAAAAAGGAAAAAGAAAAAATGGTACACTTGGGTTTATTCTCCAAAGGTAAAAAAACACAACAAAGACTAAATTTTGCTGATGCAAACTGTACACAAGTGGAGTATTTTCTTCGAGGTCACTTGTTTTCCACGCTGGATGCCGGAACTACAGAGCAAGGAGGGCGTTTACACGATTGTTGTTCCTGATAGTCTTTAAATAAAGCACAGCTACAAGGAGGCAAAGCACCAGAACACCCCAGCCTGCGTGGTTACTCTCCCCACACACCTTTTGTAAGCGCTGATGTTCCACACACCAATTTAAAGCTCGTTATCAGAGCGTGGCTTTCCCAACCCCGCGGAGCAGCGGCCAACTGGCACAGCCAAAGGTCTTCATGGATCTCCCGTGGCATGAAAGCCCATATCGTACAACCTGTCCCAGCAAGAGTGTCTTTAGCAACAGCATAAACACTTAACAAAGATCAATAAGGTGATGGATGAAAGAGCAGAGCACACACGCTCTGCGTGCTCCAGTGGGAAACACGGCTGGCACACGGACACCCCGAGATTGGGCAGGATGCACCCATGGAACATCCCAGCCCCAGCAGAGGAGGCTCTCAGCAAGGATTCCAGCTCTCAGCAAGGATTCCAGCTCGGACACACCTGCTGTCATGGTTTAACCCCAGTAGCCAAGCCCTCACAGCTGCTCCCTCACTCCCCACCAGCAGGATCGGGGAGAGAATCCAAAGGGTAAAAGCTGGAAAACTCGTGGGTTGAGGCAAAAACAGTTTAATAGGGAATTTTTAGTTGTGATTTTTCCCTCAGGAGGACTCCTCTGCAGCAAAGCCCCTCACCTCAAGGACGAGCCATCTCTACCTTTATTCTGTGGGAAAATAACCAGCAAATGGAAAGATTTTTGGCCACGTCTTCAAAAAGAACCTGCACCTCGTGTGACCCACTGGTCAAACTGTGCAGAACTCCCCCTGACTTAATCTTTGTCACTTTACCAAGTGTGGTACCTCTGTGATCACCAAAGGATGCTGGAAGCAAGAGCACCTGTGTTCCAAGAACTCACTGTCACAGAGGGGACTCGAGGCAAGTTGTTAAACTTGTCTTTGCTGTTGTCTTTGTCTCAGTTTCTCCATCTGTAAACACGGTTTAGAAATCTGGTGAAAGGGACAGCCATCCTGATAAGTATTTCAACTCATCTGAGTTTATCTCAGAAAAACAGCCTATAATGCTGTAACTTTTTTTTTTTATTTGAATTGGCATTTCTCTCCAATTTAACTCGAAGTCAAGAGCTCCCAAAAGCGACTGCCAAAGTAAGCAGGTTACAACAGAGGTGCTCAAGGTTGCACCCCTATTGCATGAGGGCTCTCTGGTGCCAGGCAGTGTCCTGGAAATTGCTTGATTTTCTTTCTCTGCTATTGTCTCTTTCCACATTCATGGTTAGGTGCTCATCCAAGTTCTCCTGTTCCTAAAATATATATAGTTACAGTTTCCTGCTTCAGAATTACCTTTCATCCTGGCAAATCATTGCAGCTGGCAGGCTTTGGAAAGGTAACCCTCTGTAAGTTTGCTTTAAGGTTTTATATCTGTTGTGTAAGTGCCAGTTGGCTGAACACAGCCATCAGTAGGACCATGACAACCTTCTAAAATAGAGACCACTGTCCTCCTCCTGCCCCAACCTCAAGAGTCTGCTAATATGTGTTTCCAGAAGCTTCTCCCAAGAGTGGGAAGGGAACCACCAAAAAAAAAAGGAGATTAAAATCCCTTTGCACAAGCAATGAAACCAGCAAAGCAGAAGAACAAAGAGTAGCTGGCTGTTTAAATATCTACTGGTTGGCAAACCCAGAAACCTTTCTGGAATGAACCACCTCTTCAATAGCAACAAAGTAAAGGTAGTGAGGGATTGTCCAGTAAAAACTGGAGTGGGATTCAGACTGTCCTGTGTGTTCCTGGAATGGGATGGCACCTTGTCAAAAGACAGAAAGAGCAGAGCAAGAGGAAGCTCTCCTAGGTTTGGCTCTGACCATGAGAAGGATCTGCTGGGAGAACCCCAGGTTGATGGGCACCAGAACAAACCATCACCAACATATTCTTGCAGGAACCAGCAGACAGAAAGGTTGTAAATTATACCCAGCTGGAAGATGTCAAGGACAAATAAATACTAAGTAAAAATTTCCTTCCTTGCATGCTAAAAATGCTTGAAAACAGGGGACTGCCAACTCCTGCCACAAATTTGGATGTTAGGAAGCCTTTTAACACTGTCCAAAATTATGTTTTCATAAATAGAATGAGTACAAACAAACAACTGCAGGGCAGTGGGAATTCAGATGATGGTGAGCAACTCTGTTAAACCTGAAGGAGGTAAGAAGCTGAGCTTTGGGAAGGATCCATTCCAACACCCACATTTTACATTTATCAGTTAGAATCACAGACCACAGAAACTGTGGTCTGGACACCCCAAAAACACAAGATATCCAGACTGCATCAGGGAAAATCCAAACAGGCACATCCCTCTAGTGGAATGCAAATCAGCAACACCTAAAAATAAAGGGGACTTTGGACAAGGAAATATCTCCAAAGTCCAGTTCATGGCTCACTTGAGGCACAAAGAATTAGGAGTAGGAGTGGAGCAGCCCTGAGACCAACCCCTCCCTGAGCTCAGGCAGCAGCGACCACATTAAGTCTTGGTTTATCACCACACTGAGAGACACCAATGTTTTCTACAACCATCACAATTTTCTCAGTCCAAACCAAAAAAACATTCCAATATGGAGTCACTGATCCCACCCAGGGGCACTGCCAATTCTCTGGTTACATACAAAGCAGCAAATTCCCTGCAAAGACAAAATAAGCAAATATTGTCCTTGTCTCAACAAACAACGGCCCAAAAAGACACAAGTGAAAACTTTAAACATCTCAGTCAACACATTTCCATTTTCTGAAAGCCAGGACAAAACAAGGCAGGATAGCCAAGCCCATAACACTCAACAGTTGAGATGTCTGGAAGGTGCTTAAGGAATTCAGGCACAGATATTCCACTAAAACCAACGGAAAATTGAAGGTTTTGATACAGGTAAACATACAAGAGGTCATTTGGAAACAGAACACTGAAGCATGTCTTGGCACAAGAAAACCATCTGAAGCCAAACCTGGATACAAAGCTGAATATTTGGATTGTCTTTGGAATGGTAAAAAGATTGGAGAACCACTTTTCCATACCTCATATGGCTTGTCAGGCCATCCTGAGTGTTTGGAAGCCCTAGGTCTGAAAGGGAGTCCGAGCAGACAGACACAGGTGACAAAGACCTCTCTTTCTCCTCCAGCAGGTCCAGTTTGACCAAGGAGCTCGTCTCATCCTCCGAGTTATCCTCTGACACAGAGCCAATCATAAAGCGGGAGTGAGCGTTCGGCTCCAGGGATTTATCAGGTTGGGAAGACTCTTCCATGGCTCCCCCAAACTGGGCTCTCAGCACTGTAAGGGACAAAAGAAAGTCAAAAAAAAACCCAAATCTGAGGTCAATTCCTGCCACTGAGGGACAAAGAGGAGGAATTCTGGTTCACTTCTGGCGGGAAATGCAACATTGGAACGTCAGAGCTGAACCCAGACAGACCCAGGATCCAGAACAGTTCTGCCCCAGTCACTGACTTCTCTCTTTGCACAAGGACTCTGAGATCCAAGAGCTGGTCACTCCCACTGCTGCAGAACCTGCTACCTTAGACAAAGCTGCAGGAGTCACTTAAAGGACTTCAACCACCCAAAAACACCCCATACCAAACCCCAAACCTACAGATAAGTGTAGGACTAGAAATCCCAATTTCTTATTTTACTGTTATTCTTTAGTTAGTTACTGGTGACATGTAAAACCCAATTGCATGTGGTCCTGGGCAACCTGCTGCAGCTGAACCTGCTTATAGGGCTTGCACTCCAGAGGCTCTTCCAATCTCAGCCATTCCACAATTAAAAATGTGTGTTGAAACAGGATCTGAACTCTGGGACTCACTTTGTGAGGTATTGGACATATCATTAATTACTCTAATCAAATAATGGGTTTGATTGATCAAAACCATCCTTTTCCCAGCCCTTGCAAGGTACAAGACACATTAGCTCTTACGTTTTTTCAGAAAACCTCATGCTTCTTAGGATTCTTTTAGGAATCTGAGCTGGTCTGCCAGCCAGGAAGGCCTGTGACCTCACCCTGACTTTAACCTCTTGGCCCCAGATCATCCCTGCCAATTACTGAATATACTGAAGGTATTTAATGTATTGAAACTTAGTGGCATTATTCACAACTCTCAGAGGAAAATACAGAAGTTCAGGTCTCCATTTTCCATTAAAAAATCATTATATAAAGAGGGAAGGATCTCTGAATACGGGGAACTCCAAGCCCTGTCCAACCCAGCCTTGAACACTTCCAGGGATGGGTCTGAGTGTTCCAGTGTTCCAACAGGGAATGAAAGCATTTTCTTCAAAATTAAAAGAACAGTTACAACTGAGGAAGAGCCATGACAGACGTGGAAAACAAAGGAGCCCCTCACAGCACGAAGGTGGATGGGGAATGGAGATTTGATACCCCCTGCTCTGCTGGGGTTTGATGCATTTACATGACAACTACAGTGATTACATGAAACACATCATTAGAAAATAAGGAATGCACTAACCTCTTGTTAGCCTTGCAACCTGAGCAGTTATCCACTTCCAAAACGAACTGGAAAAGAAAAGGATTAGGAAGTAAGTATTAGGGTTACTGTGAAGCATATTCCCTGTGTGTTTTCCTGGCTGGGAGCCTTTGAACTGTCCTGGAATAACCACAGGTACAGCACAGACTGGCTCGCTGGCTCCAGGCACAGAGTGACCCAGGGGCTGAGCCTGCAGTGCCCAACTCCAGCCATGGCACCTCCTTCTGGAAGCTTCTGAGCGAGGTGTCAGCACCCACCTGACCGTCCCACCTGTCTGTTAAGTTCTGCTTCTGAAAGGAACGACGTGCTGTGCCAGCACTGCCGGCCTGTGTCAAACTCTCTGCCTGCCAGCTGCTGACCTGCTGGCTGACTGCAGCTGAACCCCAAGGAGTAAATCCCAACAACAACCAGAAACCTCGGGAAAAGCTGGTGGCTAGAAGACACTGCTGGCATATCATATCTTTACATGAAAAACCCAATAGTTCATCCACCAAACTGTGGTAGAGCAATACAGACAAGGAGGAGACGAGGGGACATGAACCCCCAACCTCCCAAGAGGGTCTTCCCTATGCAGAACAGACTGTTTGATGCCTGTAACTCCCACACCACACTGACAGCCTGAACTGGTGGGAAAACCTCATCAGTCCTGCTAATTCCAGCCATGTTATGCCAAGCACGGGGATGCAGCTCCATATGAACACGATGGTTTGAGCGGCACAGGAACCTGGCCCGTGTCATCACACAAATGGGATGTGATGGTGGCTGCAATGAGAGCCCAGAAAAGCATCTGCAGCCAGAGCAATCCCTGCTTCCCATCAGTAACTGAGAATTAAAAACTCATCCAACTGGCTCATGCACTTTTACCATGAATGTACTCGACTGAATTATTTAGATCAAATCCTGTGTTGACATCAGTCCTCCCACAAACTCCAGTTGCTCTGTGGCCATGGGCACTTCATTTAACAGAGACATCATTAACCATTTTATAACTGAAAAGTCACAAATATCTGCCCCACATGGACATGAAAAGCATTAAAAAAACCCCTGGTTTCGAGGGTAGAGATGAGAAGAAGGGGAAGCAGAACCAGAAAGTCGCTGTATCCATCTGTGATGTGTACACTAAACCATGCAGGGAGATTTCTTTAACTGAGGTGCTCAGACAGCACAAAACTTGAATCAAATGTTGTTTGTGCATGTAAACATGAAGACAGTATTTATGTGTATGTTTATCCTGGCATCAGATAACTAAAGATTTTCATTCAGACAGATTTACTGTTGGCACAATTACCAGCGCCGAAGAGCTCTGGGATGCAGCCAAACTAACTCCAACTCTATCTCATGGAAGACAAACCTTTTCTAATTTCAATAACTAATATATTAAAAAGGAAATTTCAAGGCTTTTTGGGTTTTTTTTTTTGGAAGCAGGGGAACAGGAAGAGTGAAGCATTTCACTCAAATATTCCATGAGAAAGCCACCCACCCAACGCCACACGTCCTGATCCCACTGCCACGCTCAAACAACTTGACTCCCAACACCTGGTTTGTCCAACTCTGCTCCAGAGAAATGAGTTATCCATGAAACCCCACTCAGGTTTATTTCCCAAGGCACTTCCAACCCCTTGGAGCCCAGTCCCAAAGCCAGGAGTTCCTCTGGGGTTTTGCAATCAGCACTGAAGTGATAAGCTTGGCTTGTTCTCAGCACAGCTGAGAGTCCTTATTCATATTTAAATTAATTTCAGCATTGTCTGGGGCTAAATGAAACACGGACTTTCTAAGAGATCTCCTCACTGGAGCCTTTGGATTTCACTGCTGCAAACGGAATGTGCATTGTACACTGTTACACTGTATATATACAAATATAGAGGCATATTATATATACACAAAAATATAGTTATATATACAAATATAGAGTAGTATTTCATATATACAGATACAGAGGTACATTTCATAAATACAAATACAGAGGTGTATAATATGTGTACAAATATAGGGGTGTATCATATTTATACACCTCTGCACATGGCACTGGCTCTGAAGTGTAATTGCCACAGTTCCTAAGAAGCACCTTGAATTCAGCTGAGCACCAAGATAAATTCGTGTGCCATGAGCCACTGCACACGTACTGTTTGTCTTAATACTGTTGAGCTAGACCCTGAAAACCAAAATTATCTGGATTGTCAGCTCTAGTGGGCCATGGAATGCCCAAATCCTGCTCACACCACGAGCAGCGACAACTCTGCAATCCCAACCCAAAACGTGACGTGTGTGGTTCTGCCTGAGGGGAAACAAACCCCCATTCACTCCTCCACAGCTCTGCTACTACCATTAGTCACATTTTTGGCTTGACAGTGAAATGCACATGTAACAATACAAGACTTCAGAAGTTTTATAATAGTTGCACTTTAAGATCACTTTTACTATTGTAAAATACGTCCAGGCATGAAACCTGGATAATGGAAATGAAAGTTTCTTATCTTTCCAAACCATCCCATTCTGAAGGCAAATCCACTGTGAAAAGAACATCAATATTTCAGTGGAAATAAGTTGTAGGTTCTTTCAAAGAATCAGAATAATACTTCTATAATATTGCTATGTCATATAGAGAGGAAAGGAATAAAAGTAGTTGTATTTGAAGGTCTCCTGATTAAAGCCCAGGGATCTGTGGCATTGCTGGTCAACACGAACCACCTGAAAGTGATGAACTGGATTTGTGCTCTCACTGCCCTACCTGAAGGAACCCAGGTAATGGAAAACAGCAGAGGAAAAAAGGTAAAAACAGATTAAAAAGAGATGACACCTGTGTAACAAGACAATTACTGAGTTGCTTCTCCTGCCCACAAAAAAAAAAATCAGCAAGGTGCTCACCTATACCAGGGCTGGGGGGCAGTTTCCAGGTCGGGACAGGGTGAGGGGATGGTTCCTGCACCCAGAGGGGCCCCCAGCACCGAACACCCCCGGCGTTGCTCCGGGCCCGGCTCTGCCAGGCCGGTGCTGCCCCGTTTTAACGTGCCCAGGGACTGCCCCAGCCTGGCTCCAGCTCAGCCCTGGCTCCACCTGAGCCATGCCTCCTGGTTAATCATTGGGCATTGCTTCACTTCCCATCCCAAAACGTCCTCAGCACATACCAAACACCCTGCGAAGCCCCTTGGGTTCTAACGCCCGAAATTCCACGTCCACTGCTCTCTCCTGGGGCAGGTTGGGATCCACAGCACAGGAAGGAGCCAGAGCTACTGGAGAGTGTTCAAAGGAGGGACACGAGGATGGGGAAGGCTCTGGAAGGGCCACATGAGGAGCACTGAAGGCACTGGGTTTGCTCAGCCGGAGCAGAGCAGACCGAGGGCAGAGCCCATCGGGGGCTGCAGCTCCGACCCCTGCTCGGTGTGACACGGACAGGACCCGGGAACGGCTGGAGCTGTGCCAGGGCAGGGTCAGGCTGGATCTCAGGAACAGGTTCTCCCCCCCGAGGGTGGTTGGCACTGAACAGGCTCCCCAGGGCAGTGGTCAGGAGTTGGACTGGATGATGCCTGTGGGTCCCTTCCAGCTCAGGACATTCTGTGATCCTATGAATGTATGTCCACAGGGGAGAGGTTCTAGGTAGCTGGTTTTCACATTTACTGTACTGACATTACACACACAAACCTCAATTTACAAGTGGGAGAGATGCTTCCCAGGTCTCCTCCAGTCAGATGTGTCTGTGCCAATTCCAAAAATCAGAGTCACAGACTATCCCAACTTGGAAGGGACCCAGAAGGATCACAGAATCCTGGAATGGTTTGGGTCAGAAGGGACCTTAAAGCTCACCTCATTCCACCCCCTGCCACGGGCAGGGACACCTTCCACCAGGTCACGTCACTCCAAGCCCCGTCCAACCTGGCCTTGGACACTTCCAGGGATGAGGCAGCCACAGCTTCTCTGGGCAGCCTGTGCCAGGGCCTCCCCACCCTCACAGGGAAGGATTTCTTCCCAGTACCTAATCAAGTCCAACTCCTGGCTCTGCACAGACACCCCAACAATCCCACCCTGTCCCTCAGAACATTGTCCAAATGCTCTTTGAGCTCTGTCAGCCTTGGGACCATGACCAAACCCTGGGGAGCCTGTTCATAGCCCAACCACCCTCTGGGTGGTATCACCTTTTCCTGAGATCCAACCTAAAACTCCACAAAGCCCAAAAAAAGCCCATATTTACAATTCTCCTAGTTAGCTAAAACACTCGAGACTGTCTAAATCCCGCTGCTTTTGAGAGAATTTGGCATCACTTAAACCAGTTTGCTGAGTATTTCCTGCCTGCTAAACCAGAACGCACTCCACTCACGCTCTGGATACTTTTTTTAACACGGCATTTTTCATTTTAAACTTCCCCGAGAAGACTTTAAGAGACGCCGCGAAAAGGCGAGGCGGAGAACAATTCGCTTTGCTCCGCAAACCCGCTTTTTACAACTTCGCCGCTCTCGAGCATCCCGGGGGGGGTGCGGCCCCTCGGCACAACCAGACCCGAACTCTCGCCCGAGATCCTGAAAGCCTGAGATCCTGAAATTCCCCCTCGGGGGGCTGGGAGAAGGATGGGATGGGATGGGATGGAGGAGGGATGCGCCGGGCTCGCTCCCCGCCGCCCACGTGTTGTTCCACCGCGCGGGGGGCGCGGGGCGGCCACGGCAGCGACCGGACCGGCGGCACCGGGGGGGTACCGGGGAGGAACCCAGAGGGAACCGGGGGAGAACCGAGAGGGAACCGGGGGAGGACCGGCCGGCGCCGGGAGCCCCCCGCCCACCCCCGCCTGCGGAGCGGCACCGACACCGGGCCGAGGAGCCCCGAGGCGGCGGCGCTCGGTGCTCCATCTCCCGCTGGCTCTTCCCGGTACGGCCCGGCATCCCGTTACATCCCGCCGGCCCGGCTGGGCACGGCATGGCCTGGCACGGCATGGCCCGGCCATCTCCCGGCGCCCGGCCAGCTCCCGCCCGCCTGGCCCAGCCCCAACCGCGCAGCGCCGCGCCCGCCGGTGCCGCGGAGCCCCCCCGGTGTGTCCCCTCCCTCGCCGTGTGTCCCCCCCCGCCGGTGCCCGCCCCGCCCTCACCTCACGGTGCCGGTGCAGCGGAGCCGCCGCGGGCCCCCGGCCTGGCGCTCCCGCCGCCACGCCCCCGGACACGCCCCCTCCCGCGCAGGCCACGCCCCTCGGTGGTGTGATCGGGGTTACTTCAGGTCAGGGCCCCCCGCGGGCCACGCCCCATCATGCGCAAGGCGCGCTCCCATTGGCCGGCGGGCGGAGGGAGGGGGCGGGGGGCGTGGCCACGCCCCCCGCCCCCTCCCTCCGCTCGCCGGCCAATGGGAGAGCGCGTGTGGGGCGGGGCCGAGTGTGGCCTGAGCGGGGGGGGGGGGCGGACACACCCCCTGGACAGGGGACCCCCCCCATGGCCGGGACCCCCCGAACAGGGATCGGTGATCCAGGGATCGGTGATCCAGGGACTGCGGCAGCTCGGACAGGAAAGGCCGAGGGAGCTGGGCCTGCTCAGCCTCGAGAGGAGACTCCGAGAGGGGACCCCACCCGTGGGGAGGGGTCAGAGGAATTGATCCCATCCCATCCCATCTGCTGGGGGGGCGGGGGCAGAAGAGGAATTGATGCCCAAAAATTTCCACCTGGACAACGAGGAAGAACTTCTTTGTTGCGAAGCGACCGAGCGCTGAAGAAGTTGCCCAGGGAGGGTGTGGAGTGTCCCTCACTGGGGATATTCCAGAACCGTCCGCACGCAACACATGTGCTCTGGGATGGCCCTGCTGGAACAGGGAGGGGGGATCAGACGGGACACTTTGGCCCCTTCCAGCCTGGCCCATCCTGTGAGCACCCCAGCCCGGCCAGGTCCTTGCACACGAGAGCCCCGCGTGGCCGCTGCCCTGTCCCTTCCCTTGGCACAGGCAGGGGACAGAGCTGATAACAGGTGGCAAGGACGGGGCAAAGCGCTGCCAGCGCCTGTCCTGCCTGTCTGTGACCTTTAGTTGCCTGTGCCGCAGACATCCGATGGATTAAAGAACCACTCCTCCTCCTTTTTCTTTTTTTATCTTTTTTTGTTTTATTTGAGCTTTGAGGCATTACGGGGTTGGTGCAATTTAACTGGGATGAGTAACGCGAGTTTAATTCCCGATGCTGCTGGATCTGGTCACCTGTGCAGGCTGATCCTGCTGGAGCCCGGGGGGTACAAAAGCCCAAGGACCTGCACAAACAGCTTTGGGGGCTCTTCTAACAGTCTTCAGGCAGGGCCCATCACTGCCAGCCCTTCCAGGGATGGGGCAGCCACAGCTCCTCCTCATGGGGAAGTAGGGTTTTCCTGTATCATTTATATTTTTGGGTTCTTTATTCCTGCACTTTACACAAAGGGTGATTCCAGGTCTGGGAGGACATTCCTGACAGAGCCCACCCTGGCTCTGGGACAGCCTCAGGCTCACAGACACTCCAGCAGCAGGAGTGCTGACGGAACAGTGAGTTTCCTGAGCCACACACTCCAGGGCCAAACTCCAGGCAGTTTCTTTTTAAGATGCATTTCAAGAGTGAGGCAGTGTTAGAGGGTGTGAGACTGTGCTTGAGGAAACTACACTGACTTGGGAGCACGTGGGGGGATATGTGCCTGCTGCAGGCAGGAATTACACAGCCAGAAAATCTTATTTGGGGCTTTGTAGCTAATGAAATTACTGGGGGAACAGATCATGTCCTCACATCCATCCATCCAGACCAAATCTGGAAAATTCGGGCATGGACACTTTTATTTATAGATATAAATGTGTCTTTTACATAAAGACTCTTCCTCTGGTGAAGCATTTTTGTGAAGGAGCTAAAAGAGAAAGGTTGTCAATCACCTCCAGTCCCAAATCCCAGCTCCTGCAGAAGTGAGGGGGAGTGCTTGGCTTGCTGAGGGATTGGTCCCAAATCACTGATAATAACCACATACAGACCTTACAAAACCTGGGATTACGACAGGTGCTGAGTTCATCCTCGCTGGTGCTCCCAGAGCTCCAGGCGTGCTAAAACCTGCACCTGCACACTGCCTGTCTGCCCTGCCCAGTGCTCCCAGCCAGGCACAAACACTGGGGGGGAGGGATTGCTTCACACACCGAAATCCTGCGGCGACGCTCCCATCCAAGGGCAAAGAGAGGCACGGACACGTGAAAAAGAGCAAGTTAAATACATTCACCTGAAAAAACCCATGGGTTTGGAAGGTGATGTTTCTGGGCTATGAAGATGGTGAAGGGTCAGGGGAAGAAGCCATGTGAGGGGTGGCTGAGGGCACTGGGTGTGTTCAGATGGAGCAGAGCAGACTGAGGGGAGACTCACCAGGGGCTGCAGCTCCAACCCCTGCTCGGTGTGACAGGACCCAGGGAACAGCTGGAGCTGTGCCAGGGGGGTTTAGGATGGATCTCAGGAACAGGTTCTCCCCCCAGAGGGTGATCAGGCACTGGAACATCACATCACAGGGCAGGACAGTTGTTTATAGCCTGTATACATACAGCAGAGAATAGATCCCAAAATATTCTGTATGTTATTTTACACAAGCAAACAAAAGCTCTGGGCTTTATCTTTCCCACCTGCTCTTCCCACTGAATCCAGCAAGAAAATCTCACCTCACAGTGAAGAGGTGGTGGTGGGACACTCCCTAGAGGGAAATGTGATTTCAGAGCAATTACCATATGTGATTTGGAACACATTGCAGGGTAAGGAATACCCAGCGATGACTACTGGCCATGCTGAATCAAATCCCATATTTAGGACAGCTGGGGGGTTTTGCTGTGACTTACACAGGAGCAGAAATGATTCAAAATGTCCCTCGATTCTTGACTGAAATAGTTGCAAAGGATTAGGTAAAAATGTGTTCAAGCTTCAAGTTCTCTCGTGGAAAGGGCTGTCAGGCAGCACTAATCTGTGTTTTAATACAAACACACAGATTCAAAAAGTTCAGACCCACTTTCCAACAGTTTTACTGGATTTTGAATCATAACCACATTCTGCTTTGGAGAAGGGGTGGTTAAATCCACACCTTTTCCTATCATGCCCAGAAATTGGACACAGGACATTATTTACTCTCATTCCATGACTTACAAGCACGTGCACTGTGAACACGTGCCACTCCGTTTTCTCAAAACAAGGAAGTTTGGCCTTAGTAAAGCACGTAAATAAACTAAAAAAAAATACAGGGAAATTGATTTTACCTTTCATGACGCCAAATTCGGGTTCCACCTCTCTTCCCCAGGCTCTGATAACATCCCCAGGGCAAACACAGGGCAGATCATCCCAGGTGAGGGGGGTTGGTGACACATCCAGCCTGGCACTGCTCATGCCCTGGCAGGCAGGTAATGGAGAGAAAGGTCAGATCCCTTCTTAAAGCAATATCATGGTTTAGCTGTTTTTTAAAAAAAAGCCTTATAAATGGAATGTTAATCTTCACAATGCTCAGGTCTGCCTGTTTTCAGGGACAATCACTCACACACCACCACATTCTCTCCAGGTGAGCTGCCATCACTAACACAATCCACAAGATGGGCTGTTCCTGGGCCCAAGTGCCCCTACAGCTCCAGGAAGTGCCCTAAATCCTCCTGTAAAGCTGCAAAGTCTCAGCATTCCCAGCCCAGGAAGAGAAGCTGCAGAACAAATGAGAAAGTGAAAGTGAACATCCAGTAACGGTACAGGAAAAAAACCGCATTAAAAATAAACATTTGGTTTGTCATTATTCATAATCTGATTCTCCTTCCAATATTTTTGCATTTTTACAGGCTGAATTTTACATTCCTAAGGATTTCTATCTTGAGCAAATTGCATAAAATTTAGTGAGTATAGAAATACAGCCTAAAAAAAGGATTCTGAAGTGAAGTGTATGAGGACATTTATCAGGAAGGCCTCCTGGGCATGGAGCACATCCAGTGGTCCTCACATCAGCTGTGCTACTGGAGGTTCCCAAACTACCTTATCTTTTCACACTTTTACTATAGTGGGTTTCGGTGTTGGGTTGTTTTTTTTTTTCTCAATTCTACTCTCAGCTTTTCAATTTTAGATGGAGAAAATCATTGAACTAAAGCAGCTGAATACACTGAAATAAAAAACCTGCAAAAGAACGCAAAGAGAATGTTTTACACCACCTGATAGATTGTAAATATTAAATATTTATACTGAAATCCATCCTGACCCACCATGAATATCTGAACTAAGCAGGCATGCAAAACAAACACTGACACACAAGCCCTTGAGGCTCCCCATTTGCTCTCGTTTTAAACTTAAACATCTTAAGTAATATCAATGCTTATGGAAAAGTTTTCTGGAGTCTCTGGAGTCTCAGCCACTTGAAATGTCGGCGGTTATTTGTAACTGCACAGAAATATTTTATCCTTCTGTGCTTGGGGACACAAACCTGTGGTTATTCAGCATTTCAAAGCCACAAGCTCCGGAGGAAAAGGTGATTTCCATCGCCCCCGTGTGTCTAACGCAGAAAACGCCAATTTTCAAAAAAAAAAAAATCCATCCCACAGCCTGGAGAAATCCCAGCAGGACTTTTAATTCACCTGCAGACAGCGGCCTGATAATGTTCCCACTTATTTCTGCCTGGAGTGGGACAGGAGGGCCCAGCCCTGAGCCCTCTGGATGTCACACACACGGAGAACAAACCCCTGAGAGCGTTTCATTGGCAGAAACTATAGGTAAATCATTTCAAATAGCAGGTGAAAATGACCTCATTTGTTAAAACCTCTGAGTGGCAGCACGTGAGCACATTAATTCATTCCAAATTATCCGCTTGGAACTTCCTGGAGTGTAACTGGAGTGGCAAATGTGCTCCAGTGAGAGGCTGGGAATTAAACTGAGACCCTTTGGAGCCATTTCACACGTGCCATTGAACAGCCACTGGGTGGTGGCACCTTTAGGCCTCTGCTAAGCTGGAAACCATTTGAAGAGACTTTAGAAAAAAAGACTTTTTTTATCACTGCTCCCTCCAGGAGCCATCAGGGGTCTGTGCCTTCAGTCCAGTTCAGCCAGGAGATGTCACACCAAACACTACTGATCTGAAAAACCTGTAAGACTCCACAAACTGTTCAGTGTTCCTCGTGAATATTTTTCCTTCCCTTGCCAGAGGCAGAATGGCAAGACCTTACACAAAAATATCCAAAGCCATGGTCATCCATGGCTGCAGGTCTCACCTGAAAACATCCATCACCTTTCCCTCACCTCTCCCTGGGAACAGCAGGAACCAGCTGTTCACCCAAATGTTGATTCCTTCCATTAACCACCCAGAGTCTTAATTCCCAGAGGCAGGAAAAACCTGTTAGCAATAAATATTTCACTGACATTCCAAACTCTGCCTCTCCCAACTTCTGATTTTTTCCTCATAATTTTTCACATGCATTTGGAGCCTGGGCAAAAGGAAAAGGAAATAAATTCCGGTATTTTTAGTCTTGCTGTTAAATCCCAACAAGGAACATAGGTGGACAAGAGGGAAGGGCTTCAAACTGGTAGAGAGGAAGGTTAGATCGGATATTAGGAAGAAATTCTTGGCTGTGAGGGTGGTGAGGCTCTGGCACAGGTTGCCCAGAGAACCTGTGGCTGCCCCATCCCTGGAGTGTCCAAGGCCAGGTTGGACAGGGTTTGGAGCAACCTGGTCTAATTAACACTAATCTAACCCTGCCCTCCTTTAGCTTAAGGTTTTGTGTAAGCATAAACCCAAGCATAAATATTTGAGGTCCCTGTGAAATACCAGTTACATTGCCAGCACCGGGGCACCATAAGCACACAGAGAATCGATTACTATTTGTGTTAAACCCCATTTTAACTCAGCATCACTGTCACAATTGCCCCAGGCTCCCCTCAGGAACACAGGGCAGCACAGGAGGCCACGCGGAGGTGACAAGGGACAACACGAGGTGTGAGAGCCCCTGTGCCAGGAGGGCTGTGCAGGCTGTCTAACAACAACAATTACGACTGTTTCAAACAAAGCAACCAGATAAATCCTTCCCCAGCTTTGGGGGTTTATGCAAGACTCGTTAAACCCTGCTCAGGTCCCTCCACAGCCCAAGCCCACGAGTACCTGGTTCACACAGGGAAGCAGCGGGGATGGCACTGGAGAGCCCTTTCCCCATGAAAAGCAGCCAAGATTTCCCTTTGCTACCTCAGGAAGTGAAAGGACGAACCTGAAAGGGTGAATAACCGTCAGGAACCATTGGAAGCCGGGTGTAGTGACTGGGGCGGGGGTGTGAGCGCGGGTTCCTCCCGGGTGTGCCCGCGGTCTGAGGGGGGCCCTGGGACGGCGAGGGTTCTGCCGTGCGGCACACCCGGCTGGCTCAGCCTCTCCTGAGCCTTCCCACGGGGGACCCCTGAGAGACCCCCAGGACCGCTCAGGGCCGCCCCAGCCCCCCGGGCGGTCCCGGCTCCCTCAGCCCCGCTCGGGGCGGGGCGGGCCCTGCGGCGCTCCCGGCACCCGCCAGGGGGCGCCCGCGCCCCACACGGCCCCGGCGCGTGCGCACGGCGGGGCGCGCGCGGGCCCGACCCGCCGCCCCGAGCGAGGTGAGAGGAGGCGGCCCCGGCGCGGCCCGCCAGGGGCGAGGGGGCGAGCGGGGAGCCGGGGCCGGGGCGGGGCGCGGGGGAGCGCGGAGGGCGGCGTCCGGGCGGCCGGTGGGACGGCGAGGGGGGAGCGAGCGCGGCGCCGGGAGCGCGGGAGCCTCGCGGGCCGCGCCGGGGCCGGGAGGGGGCGGGGCCACACAGGGGGCGGGGCCTGGAGGGGTGGGGGGCGCCCCCTGGCGGGGAGGGAGGGAAGGGGCGGCCGGGGCTGGAGGGGGGGTCGGGATGTGGGATATGGGATATGGGATATGGGGAGTAGGGATGTGGGATATGGGGAGTGGGGATGTGGGATATGGGGAGTAGGGACTGGGATATGGGGAGTGGGGATGTGGGATATGGGATATGGGGAGTAGGGACTGGGATATGGGGAGTGGGGATGTGGGATATGGGATATGGGGAGTAGGGATTGGGATATGGGGATGTGGGATATGGGATGTGGGAATTGGGGAGTGAGATACGGGAGTATGGGGAATGGGATATGGGGGACGTAGGGATATGGAGAGTGGGGAATGGGGAGTGGGATATGGGGGAATTGGGAGTGGCATATGTGGGAGAGTGACATGAGGAGTGGGGATTGGGATATGGGGAAGTGGGCATTGAGATATGGGGATTAGGGAGTGGGATATGGGAGAATGGGGAGTGGGATCTGGGGAGCGGGGTATGGGTGATGGAATGAGTGTAGGACCTCCCTGTGCAGGAGCTGGTGGATCAGGCTGTCCAAGGAAGCTGCCACTGTCAGCACTGAAATGGTGTTGGCAGGAGCAGGGCAGCGTTTGCACTGCTGTGCCTGTGCCATCCCTGACCTGCTCCTTCTCTTCCCAGTGCTTCTGGGAGGTGCAGAACACTTCCTTGCACTCCATCTGCTCATAGCCATGCTCAGCACATCCATTCCCACAGGAACCTTCAGTTTGGGACTGTATCCCCGTCACTCCACATCTCCTTACACTCCATCCCATCTCCCCGTGTTTGATTCCTTCTCACACCCAGAGAACAGACCCTCAGCCCTGGGAATGGTGTCTGGAGGCTGTGACAGCCCTTTTGCTTTCTGTTCAGGACCTTCTGGGAGGATCACACCTGGGGGGGGCTGCGGAAGAGAATTCCCTTTGGACACCCTGGTTGGCACAAGGCTCCCACTCCCTGGGTGTTTGGGCAGGACAGGTTTTACTCCGAGGAGCAGGACCAGCACCCGGGGCAGCAATGGAGCGCCTGGCCTCCTTCAGCAGTAAGTGCCAGCAGATAATTAACCTCCCACAGAAAAGCAGGCACAAGGATTTCTCAGAGCTGTGGGATTTTGTGGTCACCATCCCTGGAAGCGTTCAAAAAAAACGTGTGGATGTGGCACCTGGGGACGTGGATTAGTGGTGAAGACGGCAGGGCTGGGTTAGTGGTTGGACTCGACTCAGAGGGCTTTACCAACCTAAACAATCCTGTGATTCCATGACATTTGGAAAGGGTTTGCCATTGTTTTAAGAAATCAGCAGCCATGGGAGAGGGAGACAGAAACCAGCAGGATTTGGTCCACAGAATCACTTCTTTGTCCAAATTCTCAAGAGCACGAGGACTCAAATGATTCAGTGGGAATTTGGGTCTTTTTTCTGCCTACTTCTTATAGTTGAGCTGGTTCAAACCCATTTTCTTGGAAAAGAATCATAGAATCGTGGAATCCTGGAATGGTTTGGGTTGGATGGGACCTTAAAGACCATCCAGTCCCACCCCCTGCCACGGGCAGGGACACCTTCCACTATCCCAGATTGCTCCAAGCCCCGTCCAACCTGGCCTTGGACACTTCCAGGGATCCAGGGGCAGCCACAGCTTCTCTGGGCAACCTGTGCCAGGGCCTCCCCACCCTCACAGGGGAGAATTCCTTCACAATATCAAATCTAACCCTGCTCTCTGTACGTTTGAAGCCATTATAACCTGACAGTCTGTTTATTTTGACCACTTTGCCATGAACAAAATATGAAAAACTCACAGGGCAGTTTCATTCCTTGTCGAGAACCTGAGCAGAGCCTGAGGTTTGGACGGGTTGCAACAATCCTGTTGATGCCTTTGCAGCCTCAGCAATGTGCTCTGTGAGTCCAGCTCGAGGCACGTGGATGGGGAGTGCAGCTGCTGTGCAGAATGCTCTGCAAATAAGGTCTGGGCTCTGGTCTTTGCAGAAGATGAGCACAGGATCAAACCAGGCAGCTGGTGCAGCCTTGCTGAGCTGTACCAGGAGGCTGCTGCAGAGGAGACTTTTCCTTTGGGTTCGTTGCACAAGTTTGGGTTTAGCCCTCAGTGTTTCAGGTCCAGCAGAGATGCAGTGCCAACATCTCTGCTGCAACTCGTGCTGAACAAGGAATATTTAACATGTTTGCAGAAGCTGCAGTAGGGAAGAGATGACACACTGAAAATCCATAGAATTCACTGAGCTGGGAGGGGCACACAACTCCTGGGGCTGGGCACAAGTGAATTTAGGTGGTGCCAAACCAGTGCCTGGCTTGTGTTACGTGAGGTTTTCCTTTGGTTTCCCAGATGACCCCTTTGACAAGCCCCCGTGCCGAGGCTGCTCCTCGTACCTCTCGGAGCCCTACGTGAAGTGTGCTGAGTGTGGGCCCCCTCCCTTCCTCCTGTGCCTGCAGGTGAGTGCCAGCAGCAGAGAAGAGGCACTAAATTCCTCTGAGAAAGCCATCAAAGGCCTGGCTGGTGCCAGGCTGTCCATAAGCACATCAATAACCGGTCTCTCTAAACCTGTACCAACACACTTATTTGCTCAGGGACAGGGAAACGGCAAAGGGGACGTGGAGGATGAGGAACTGAGGCAGGAGCAGGTGAAGGAGGTCTTTGTGCAGCGGCCAAAGACATGCAGTCAGCCTGGCTGGAACCCAGCCTGCTGCTGCACGTCTGGAGGAGGATCATTTCTGTCATTTTTTTATGGCATGGAAAAGAAAATCCATCCAGGAACACCCTTCCCCTGTCCACACACATTTTTTTTCCCCCTCCCAAACGGAAAAGGAAAACCTGCAATATTAACATTAATTGTTTGTGACCAGATGCAGTTCTTTCAAGGTAATATGTGTGATCTGATAACCACAGAAAGTACTGCTGGTTTAGTTACTAAATGAATAAGTTTGTGTTATTATTATTAAAAATGGGCAGTAACTTCTAAAAAAGAGCTGAGTCTTGTGCTCAGGTATGTACAAAATACACAAAACCCTATTTTGTGTATTGGGTGTATTTTTGCTCATTTATCTGTACTTAAAAAACCCCAGATACTTAGCTGTTAAAAATAGCTACAAACCATGCTGGTGCTTTTAATCAGAGAACCAAGATTAGAGGGAAACTGTGTTTTCAATACTTACTAAATGCTCTGTGTTTTTTTCCTGAAACAATCAACTTTAAAATATAACACTAAATTTTTTTTCAGCTGCCTGACTTTGCCATAAATACTTATCAAAAAAATTTGGGATTCACAGGAGTTACGTCTGAGGGCAAAAGACAGGCAAGATACAAAGATTAACACAATTTTAACCCAGATCTTTCTGCCATTTGATGGGATTTCTAACATTACATCAGAAAAATTGAATATATCAGGTGGGAAGTTTTGGATGCCCAGTGGTCAGAGAATAAAAGGGAGAAAGGGACCAGTGAAAATGTTTTCAGGGCAGAAGTAAGAGCCCAACATAATGGTGATCTTTTGTTCTGCAGTGTTTCACCCGAGGATTTGAATACAAGAAACATCAAAGTGATCACACCTATGAGATAATGGTAAATATTCCTTTTGGATAACACCTATTCAGTCCTGAGCTTTCACAACTTCCCAGGAGTGAGACACTTGCTTATTAATATTACACTGAAAGATTAAGTGATGCAATTCTTTGATTCAAAGGTTTAGAACAATAAAAAAAAAAAATCTTCCATGATTGCAAATTAAAATCCACCTGGAACATAATGGGGTAGTGGAGTCATTTAAAGCTGCATTTTTTATTGTGCCTGGATAGCACAGTGCACCTCACTAGACTTCCAGTTCTTTAGCCATGTAAATCAACCTCTGTTTCCCTATCCTTGTTTTTTCTTCCCCCAAATTAATAGTTTTTAAAGTCTTCAGTAATTTTTGCTGTATTTCATAACACAACATCATTGAATTACAGCTGGGAGGTGCAACATGTGCCAGGGTTTGCTGTGGTTGATGTCCCAGCGCCCTAAATAATTCAACAGTTGTTCCATCAGGTTTCATGGGACACAGTGAAAGTTTAAAACTACCAGAATTATCTGCTGTGCTGCCCTGTGGTTTAGAACTTCTTTGCTCTTCCTGAGGTGGGTTAGAACAGAGGGTCACAGCAGTTTGATCTGCCTTTCTCTTCTCCAGACGTCCGATTTCCCTGTCTTGGATCCCAACTGGACAGCTCAGGAGGAAATGTCTCTCCTCGAAGCTGTGATGGACTGTGGATTTGGGAACTGGTGAGAATTCAGTGGTTCAGCCAATTTCAGTGAATAATGGGCAGTTTTTCCTTTCATTTCCCTGGATCTCACTGTTGAACACACCAGTGCACATTGCAAGTTCAATGGTTTATTGGGGTGAGACACTAGCAGCTAAAGTGGAAGACCTGTTCCAGATCCTGTTTTCATGAGTTGTTTGTCTTCTCCTTCATGAAAAAATAGCTGTATTAAAAGCACAGAACCCCAGCATTCACTGAACCAGAACTGAGAGTTCCTAGGTGCATGTTGCTGCCAGAATTCAGACTGAGAACTGGTTGCAATGTGCTGTCGAGTACACTTTGGTCTGCTTAGCAATACAAATAATCTTCATTTTTTCCTCAAACATTTGGCCTTTTTCAGCCTTTACCAAATAAAGGAAAAACTGACTTTTCATCCTGGAATCTCTTGCATCCAGTTTTGAGTTTAACAGACAGTAAAATGATTGCTGCTGGTAGATTAATTTTTTCTAAAGTCCTCAACTTACACAGCCACTTTATCAAGACCGAATACTTCACATTTCTAGTCAACCACTTTTCCAGGAAAATTTTGTGAAGATTCCTAGGATGTGTTTTGTACGACCATTTTGGTGTTTAAAAAAAATAGAATCATAGAGATATGGAATGGTTTGGGGTTGGAAGGGACCTTAAAGCCCATCCAGTTCCACCCTCTGCCATGGGCAGGGACACCTTCCACCAGCCCAGGTTGCTCCAAGCCCTGTCCAACCTGGCCTTGGACACTTGCAGGGATGGGGCAGCCACAGCTGCTCTGGGCAACCTGTGCCAGGACCTCCCCACCCTCACAGGGAAGGATTTCTTCCTAAAAAAAACTGTTTAACATGAAAGGGGAAACCAGTATCCACTTAAAAGCACAGGAGAAACTTAGGAAGTAGAATGCAGTTCCAGACTTAGAATTTGCCCTTACCTGGAGTTAGAGAAATGTGTGAAAAGCCCTGAAATAACAATAGTAAATTTCCAAACCTGGTCCATCCCATCAGGCAGGGAGTTTCTCATGCAAAGAGAGTGGTTTGCATTGTTTGTGGCCACCCAAAACGTGCTCCCTTTTACACTGTATCAAATCTGAGTATTGGCTCGTGTTGGTACTGAAAACGTGAATTCATCATCACAGGGCAGTTCTCTACACACAACATGATCACTCTCTTGCCCAAAAACATCTTTTCCCACTAGGGGAATGAAAAGAAACTGGACATTTCCATGTCCTTCACGTGAAGCCTCCCCCTCTCCCCACTCCAGGCAGGACGTAGCCAACCAGATGTGCACCAAATCCAAGGAGGAGTGTGAGAAGCACTACATGAAACACTTCATCAACAACCCCCTGTTTGCATCCACCCTGCTGAACCTGAAGCAGGCAGAGGAGGTGCAGCACCAGGAAACAGCCATTCCCTTCCACCGTGAGTATCCCTGCCTTTAAACGTTTCCTCTGACGGTGGGGATGTTATTGTGTATACACCGTGTCCCAGGCCTGACTGCTGATGTGATTCCTCACAAAACCACCCCTTTCAACTCTGCTGATTTCACACCTCTCTCTTTAAAACTGCCTGTTAAAAAGTCTGAGCTAAATCTCCAAGCAATTTAACGAATTCTCAGTTTTCCTTGCATTTCACATCTTTAGTGTTCCCCCAGTCTGGCAGCTGCTCCTCTCTGAAGCAGCTCTGGCTGAGATGGTTGCTGGGTGTCTGGAGGTTTAAATTTCCCAGTAAAGTGGTTAGAGCTAAGCAGTAGGAACTGGGCAATTTTGGTTCTGTCCCTGGCTGTTATTGATTTTTTTATGTGACCTGGGCCAAGACAAACTCTCTGTGCCTCAGCTTGTTTTATCTGTAGCATGGGACATATAATGCTCAGCTCCTGCACAAGTGTATTGTGAGCCTCAGACTATTATTGTCTGTAAAACACTGAGCTCCTCAGCTGGGAAGTGCTGTAAACATTGGGAGTTCTTCTGGCTTTAATTGCAGCTCTGTCAATGGCCCCCAGAAGAAGGCAAATTTAACACTCCTGTTGCTATTAACTGAAAGAACCTGCACGCTGAGCCCCAGGGATCTGCAGAGGTTTATGGGGGGATGCTCAGCTCTAAAATGCAAAGTTTACATTTTATTACCTATTTATTACCTTGAATTTGTGTTTGACTTTTGGGAGTACTACAAAGATGTCAGATTACTGCATTTTTCTCTGGATGGACTCAGTCTTTTTCCGACTATAACTCTAAACAAAAGCCCCATCAGGGTATTTTTCTTCAACTAATTATTCCCACTTTTCCTGAAAAATAAACACTTATTTACAGATCTTTTTAAAAAAAAAAAAAAAGACCCCAAGCCCTACACAACAACTACAAACCTTTGTTTTTTCCAGCTGCTGATGATCCCCCAAGGCCAACTTTTGATTCCTTGCTCTCCAGGGACATGGCTGGGTACATGCCAGCCAGAGCTGACTTTGTTGAGGTAAGGCTGACTCTTCTCCCATTATTTTAAATTTGCTGCTGAGTGCAAGCTCAGCACACACACACCTGTTTGCCCCCTGCCTGTGGGTCTTTACTCTTCATTTTAAAACATCAGGAGAGAGGACAGGACTGAGTGATGCTCTGAGTCTTGTGGTTTAGTTTAAGGTTATCCCATGAGGAGGTTTTAAGGTTATCCTGGACTCTGATCCTTATGGGTCCCTTCCAACCTGAGATATCCTGCAATTCTGTGATTAAACCTGGGGATTAATGAAGGATTTGATGACAGAGGTGGCGCTGGTGGCCTGCAAAGCTGGGAGCAGTCAGTGAGGCTGTAGGACATGCTGCTGCCACCAGATGTCCAGCCAGGAATGCCCTTGCTTAAGCAGAGTGGATGCTGAGAATTAGATGCTCAGCCAAAGGGATCAGCTCCAGCACTGTCATCTGCCTTAGGGAAGCACACAAGACCCTGCTCCAGACATGCCTTGTAAAACCTGCCCTCTTTTCAGTGCTTTTAGCTGTGGGCCCAAGGCCCCAGTTCCTGCTCCTGTCCATGAAGGAATGATTTCAGCCATACAGGAGCTTGGTTTTGTACATCTGAGCAGAATCAGCACCAAAGTGATTGGTGAAACACAGGACCATCCCAGGAACCCCACCCTGTGCCTGCAAAATGCTCTCAGGCACAGGGTGGGATTGTTGGGATTGTCCTGTGGAGGGTCAGGAGTTGGACTTGACGATCCCTGTGGGGCCCTTCCAGCTCAGGATATTCTGGGCTTGTATGATTCTGCTTTCCATCCCAGTGGGTGGGTTCCCATCACATGGGGGTCATGGTTAATTCTCCTTACCCTGTCCCAACCCCCTGCTCCAGCTCCAGGGGGTGCTGTCACACATTGCCCAGGGAAAGCTCCCCTGGGATGTTTGTTGCTCAGGGATGGAACCTTGAACCGCTGTGTTTGAGGAAATATCCCTGTTTTCAGTCCTTCTGCTTGTACTGAAACTTGAGACCAATATTTTAGTGCTGGTGGGTGACAATGTATTAATCACCTCTGAACAGGAGTTTGACAACTATGCCGAATGGGATTTGAGAGATATTGATTTTGTAGAAGATGATTCAGACATTTTGCATGGTAAGTCCCATATTTTTGTACCCTGTCTGAAAACAACGTTTCAGAGTGTCTACACAGCTTTTCATTGAGTCTCTTTCACTACACACTTTAAAAGTGTGTACATACATTTTTACTGTGTGGGTTTTTTAATGTTTGGGTTTTTTTTAATCTATGTTTTTATCATGTGTTTTTTAAAATCTCACTGGGATTTAAACACCAGCGTTTCTACGGTCCTCACTTTCAAATCTCTTTTAAAAGTTCTTAACCAACTGATGTACAAATGGTATTTAGGTACAGAATAATGCACCTCACTCACTGCTGAAATACAGCCAGTTGTAAAGTACAATAGTTAGTATAATGGTTTAGTAAATATCTAAATATCTGTGATCTCAGGGTAGGTATTAATGCAGGCAGCAAGGAGGTGTGTAGTTTAAGACCATGTGAAACACATTTAAGCTGTTGTACTCTTGAAGCTGTGTGATTTTTCATGTGTTAAGCATGCCCTGAGTTAGAGCAGCATTAGCTGTGTGTGACAACTCCCTTTTGATTCTGAAGATGATGGTGTGAGTCCAGTTACTGCTCTGAGTTTCTGTGAACGTAGCTGCCTCAATAATAGGAAATAACAGGAGTTATTAGAGTGACATTTTAATCCACAGGGAAGAAAAGATCCCACTTTTCCCCACGTTTATAAGTACATGCAGTGTTTAAAAGTCCTGTGTTTATGCCTCAGAATTCTCCCATCTGTGTCAGGCAGTTCTAAGCTAAAGCCTTTGCATCCCTTGGAGACAGACAAATCCTGTTACGTACAGACAGTCTTGCCAAAGTTAAAAAAATCAGTTGGAAATACAGCAGTGTATGCAGGAGCTTTAAAGAATGCAAACTCCCTTGGCTCAGGGAAGGTTATGAGAATCGTATGTCAGTCCCTGCTCCCTTTTAACATTTATTGAAAGGGGGACTGGCCTGGGGCCATGTCAGGCATTCATCATGCCAGCTCTCTACTGTTTCTTTTTATTGCTATTGAAAGATACATTTTCTTGCTTCCGTGTCCTATTCTAGGTCCTGGTAAACTGAAAAAGCAGAATTATCTTCTAGTTCTGTTCATTAATGGGTAGATTAATGTTCACTAAAGCAGGTTTTCCAGCACTGCCTTCCATTCCCCCACCCCTCCTTCCTCCCATGCACAGTTCAGCCATTTAAGGTCTCTCTTGCTGTTCTCCTGGTTAAGTTGTCACTGAGTGCAAGAGTCATTCCTCATCCCTTCAGCAGATCCCAGAGCTGCACAGGGACAAACCCTGGGGTCTGTCCCACTCAGTGTCCCCACAGTGCACAGGGAGGAGAATGTCAGAGCAGTCAGTACAGGCAGATCCTTTTCCTGGCATATCTTCCACAGAAATTGTAGGGTCCTGGAATGGTTTGGGTTGGAAGGGACCTTAAAGCTCACCTCATCCCACCCCCTGCCATGGACAGGGACACTTTCCACTATCCCAGCTTGCTCCAAGCCCCATCCAACCTGGCCTTGGATGCTTTCAGGGATGGGGCAGCCACAGCTTCTCTGGGCAACCTGTGCCAGGGCCTCCCCACCCTCCCAGGGAAGGATTTCTTCCATATGTTTAACCTAAATTTCCCCTTTTTCAGTTTGAACCCATTCCCCCTTGTCTTATCACTGCACTCCCTCTCCAGCTCCCCTGTAGCCCCTTTAGATCCTGGAAGGGGCTCTGAGGTCTCCACACAACCCTCTCTTCTCCAGGCTGAACAGCCCCAGCTCTCCCAGCCTGTCTCCACAGGGAAGGTGCTCCAGCCCTCCCCTCAGCAACTTTTTTGCCCCCTCTGCATTTCCTGCAGGGATAAGTTCAGAGACTCCTTGAGCCCCAGGTTGTGTTCAGACCCTTTTGACCACGGGTTTGTCCTCCTGGAGCTCAGCTAGGTACTGCTAGAACTGTGTCTGCCTGTGCTCCTGCCCCCCTCCATCCTGCAGCAGGGACTTCCACAATCGAATTAGGAGTTGGGAATTTAATTATGTGTTGTGTGAAAAAATACTTCCCTCTATCTGTCCAATCTTTTGCCTGATAATTTCATTGGGTGTTCTCCAGCCCATCCTTCAGTTGTCTTCAGTGTTCAGCAAGGGAGGTCAGGCATTTGCTCTGGGAAAACTGTTTGGCAGAGGGTGTGGAGTGTGACCAACTACATTTTGGATCTCTCTGCTCTCGGGAACTCTGGCATCTGCCTTCCCACAGCTGTCCCAGGTCTGCCCACGTGAGAGAGAAACCCTCTGAAAAATGGAGTCTCAGGGTCTAGCCAGCTGTTTTTCTTTCACATGAGGCATCTCAGGGAGAAAAAGAATCCTTTTTGCAAAAAATCTGGAATGAGATCTTTCCCTTCTCCAGAGTTAATACCAAAAAAAAAGGAAGGAGCCACATCCTCCCCTGTCCTGCAGTTTTAAAGATCTCAGCTGCTGACTTCGCTTGAGAATATTTTGCAACCTAATTGTGGGATTTCACAGAGCAGAAAATGGCTCAACATGTGGCTCTGAAGGCAGGGATGGCTTAAGAAGCCTTTGTACTCTGTAGCTGACAGGCAGAGATGGTTGAGAGGCAACCTGGATGTAAAGGTAAAGATGTAAAACAGGGGTTTAACACATTTTACAGCCCAGGGAAACCCACATGGGGCCTCACAGCAGAGATTAAGGATCAGGCTGTGAGAAAATCCTCTGTTTGTTTTCCTGCCATGCATTAAACTTCACTGGGTTCAAGATTAATTTTTGAAAACTACTTTTATATTCTGTTTTCTGAAAGTTCCTCAAGCTAGACCCTGAGAACACACCAGTGTAGTTCCTTTGGTCTCTCTTTCCTTTGGTTCACAAGTCACAGATCAGTTCTGCAGTGTTGAGGCTGCACATCACACAGGAATATTTGATGCTTCCATTGGAGTGGAATTCCCCCTCGTTCTCTTTCTCCCACATTGCTTTTCTTAACATTTTTAAAAATTATTTTTTTAGAAGTTCTAGATCTGAGCTGCTTGATCTCTGTTTTCTGATGTATTATATCTTTTATATGAGATACATACATAATTTTATATATATCATATATTTTCTCTGTTATATTTCCCTGTGTCACACTAAGCAAGTTCTTGGTATTCCCACAAGAAAATGCAATTTAATACAAGGTGATAAGACTCCCAGGCAGCTTTTATGAGGAACACAGAATCTGTACCTGCTGCCTCACCAGCTCCTCCCACCTCACAGGAGGTCACAGGCATCCTTTGGTCACTTATTGATATTGGTGAGATGGTAGAAATTGTATGAAATCTCTCATATTTCAATTAAATTCTGGAATTGTTCCCTTTTATTCACTGCTGGCACTACAGTAAGGGAATGCAAATATATATTGCAGTTACACAAAAACATAATGGACAGATCAAAAGCAGCAACCAGTTACAACCCTAATTCAGCCCACAGTGCTTGAATATTTCATGAACTACAAGTTTTCATCAGGCTGAATTAGAACGTTGGTAATTTATCTTTTTCCCAGCTTTCCCCCCCCCCCCTTCTCATGTAAATGATTTTCACTTCTAACACTGCAAAGTAATTGCTGAAACCACAAGTTTAGAAGTGAGTGGAAATAGGCTGCAAGTGGCAGGGAAGTTTGATTTGAAGCTGCAAGGCCCTCAGTGTCCTCCTAGACAGAACATGATGTTTATTCCTTTGTGGAGGTTCCTGACATGCTCCAAAGGCAGATAACTGTTTGCCATGGGTCCTGCTTTCCTCCAGGGAGGGTGAATTTGGACTGTAGCCATTAAATTTGTCCCAAGCCTGGCACACACTGGTCACGCAGCCTGTTTACTGGGATTAGTTTGCATTCTTCCCATTATTTGGGCCTCCCATGCCAAGCAGGTTCCCTCGCAGGAAACAAAGGTCTCACTCATTAGCGCTCAGCAAAGTTTTTTGCAGACCAAACGAGGCCCAAGAGGAATGAAAAGCAAAGAAAAAACTGTTTTGGACACACTTCTGGAGAAACCAAAATATTTTGGGTTTGTTTGTTTTTTTTTTTTTGGAGTGGAGAAAGGAGCCTTGAATTTCTGCCTATCACGGGGTCCTTCAGAGCTGCACCAAGAGCCTTATCAGTGCCCAGAATGGACACTGGGAACGCCGTGTCAGCTTGGATTATCTCACATTACCAGGACAAACAGCTGCCTCCCTGCTAGGATCCATGGGGAAAAGCACAGGCAAATCATTCTCATTCCTGCAGCATCTCCTCTCTCATTTCCATGCAGTGTGTAACAGTGTAGTAGTCGGAGTTATTCATGCATTCCAGATTTGGTAATCGCCTGGTCCTGTGTGAATATGTCTATTAAAAACAAAAGCCCCTCCAAAAGGCCATGTGGCAGCAAATACTAATTTTTCTGTGGGCAGGAGCTCCATTTTTTCCCTTCATTTGCTCCTTCCCCTCCCCAGCTGATCATCATTTCTTTAGAATATTGTGCACTCAGGTGAAAGCACCAAAACGATGGTTAGAGGTGCATAATTACTTGTGATATTTATAGAGGTTCTCCAGTGCAGTTTCTGCATGTACTTATTAAGCTCTGCCCACACAAACCCCACGAAATAACAAGCTGGCTGAGCTTGCAGAGGGTCTAAAAACTACAAAAATATTTTCTATAAGTTGGCACCAATTCCAGCCCTTCCTAATGGATTTCATTCATGTTTAACTTGCTGCGTTCCCAATTTCTTGTCCCCACATTTGAGCAGGAAGGAGAATTTGCTCTCTCTGCTCGTTCTTAAATTGGGAAACTCAAAATACCTCGTTATGAAAATACACAATGATGCTTGGAAACGCAAGAAATTTGCAAAAATAAGTAGGAGTATTGCACCACCCCTCCCATCTCATATGGAACCTTTTGCTTTGAGATTAGCATCGAATAATTTGTGTAAACTGAAGATTTTTTTTGCTTGGGATCAGCAAGTGTGGCTCCTGAGTGAGTCCCCTCAGCCTTTGAGCTTCAGCTGTCCCTGTTTGTATGAAATTTGATTTCCCAGGGGGATGCACGGATGAATTTCCCAGAGGCTGGGGGCTTCCTGGTGTTTGCACATAAATGCATACTTAACACAGACACATAACCACACTTCTTAATTGCATTATTAATTATTTATCCGAGAGTGCAATCAATAAACAGCCACTATCAGTTTTGCTCTTTTTGTGTAACTACAGAGAGAAATGGATTCTGAGTTCTGCCCCCCTTGGGCCACCCCTGTTCCCACGGCACTGGGATGAAAAGGGACGTGCTCTTCCCCTTTTTCCAAGGGCTGGTTGTTGTCTCACAGCCTCTAAACCACTGTCAGGGCTTAAAGTCTCTTCCTTCCAAGAGCGTTTGGAAATGATTAATGTAAAGGAAAGAAAAGCCACCACGAAATCAGCCAAAATGACCCAGAATTTGTGTGTTATTTAACAGAACGGGGGGGGGAGGTGATAGGTGTCTCTTTATCTTGTCTTGCAAGAATTTCCCCAAAAAAAAAGAAGTTTATTAACCGGATGGTTACAGGAAAAAGGAGCTGCAGGATCTGTGAGTGGATCAGCCAGCCTGCAGACAGGTTTGATTTTGGAAAGGGCATGATTTCTAATGAGCATGGCTTTTTCCTGGGCTTCTTCACATTGTCCTGAACTGTTCTTTGTTCTCCTGGCAGACAGATAAGTTTGGAAGTTAACAAGCTGGAATCTTCTGGATGTTTTTAAGAACCGTAGCAAAGGCCACTTTGAATCTTCACAGTTCAGATCTGGGTCTATTTATTGGAGTTCCTTTGCCTGAAGATGATACTTCAGATCCTTAAATCTGATAAATTTGCTTTTCAGAGGAAATACTTAACAATTGCATGTGTGAAGGAACAAATAAGTGCTGATAGTGAAACAGCCCAAGAAGGGAAAGAGTTCTCAGGATCTACCCAGGTTCATGTTTACATTGTGTTTACAGTGATGAATTTGGAAGGAGTAAGCCAAAAGAAGCTTACACAGGTAGCACATACTGCAGGTTAGTGTCTGGTGAGCTGATGCCCCTGTAAAATTGCCACAGGACTTTTAAAACAGCAAAGCAGTGACCATTTCAGCCTACCCTGAACATAAGGGCTTGAAAATCAGCCTCACACAGTGATCACTTATGAATTCTTTAATCTTTTTATTTTGCAGCCCTGAAGATTGCAGTTGTAGATATCTATCATTCCAGGTTAAAGGAAAGGCAGAGAAGGAAAAAGTGAGTTTTCAAGTGTGTTCCTTTGCTTCATTAATACATCCTGGTCCCCAGTGTTCCAACACACCTTATGAGGTCACATTTGCAGAGTGGAAACTGAAACGGAATTTGGAAAACCCATCACAGATCCAGGGCTGGAACCAGACAGAGAGAGGCAAATCTCTGTTCTTTCCCTCCCTGTGCAATGCTGATGGATTGCACATCATTAATTTCCTACTTCAGGGGGGAAAAAAAGGCTGCCAGGCTGTGACTAATTGCTGGACCCCCACTTTCTCCACAGAAATATTTGCATCATTATTTTTAATTCCTAGTGGTCCCTAAGTTAGTGTTCCACACTGAAGATAACTCAACTGCTGACGTGAGGCTGAATAATTTATTCAGTTCATTGGACAGCGTTCTAGAATGACTCAGTCTATTAATTGAATTAAATTTTATTATAACTTTCACATACTTTGTTCAATATTTAAAATCATATCTTGCTAGATTACTCCCTGCTGGAAGAATTAGTGATTTGGAGTAAGGCTGCTCCAGTCCTTCTCCTCACAGAACAGCTCAGTTCTGCTGAGTGACAGGGAAGAGTAGATATGGATTGACCTGCTTCTCTGTAATTCAGAAATAAAAACTATTTAGGTGGTGTAATTTCCACGATGATCAATCATGTCATACTAAAGGAAAGTGCCACAGGGCTCAGTTACATCACTCAGTGTCAGGTTTTGTGAAGTTTCTAAAGCAGGGTGGGACAAAAATCCGAAAAATGACAGAAAAAGTGCTGATGTCACCCTCAGAAAGGTGCCTCTGCACAGGACAGGAAGATTTTGTCCATGTTAAAGGAAATGTAATGGATTTTATAGAGCAAGTCCCAACCTGACCCTGACAGCCCAACTACTGAAACTGGGGACAGATGTATTTCTTGTGCACCTGCCTTTCCCTCTGCTCCTTTCCCTGATCCTGTCAGGAGCACTTTGAACTCAGAGTTACCCCAATCATTTGGCTCTTTTTAAAAATCCAAGCTGTCATGGAGAAGTTCCTTCCTCCCACTGCCAGTGGTGGGATTTACAGTCCAGCTCTCCCCTTACTCTAGCAGAGGGACATTTGTCTCTCTCTGAAGCTGGAAATCATGTTCGTGAGACACTCTTTACCTCTGATTTTGGAAGGATAAGTTATAAGGTGTTGTGGATGTGAAATCTGTGCCTAAAGAAGCCATTCCAGCCCTTAAAGAGATTGCAGCTCCCTTTGTGCTCAGGGCTAATGCACACCACTATCCAAAATGTGCCCTGATTAAAGCCACACTGCCTCATGTTTCCATTCCAGCCAGCTCAAGGGGTATGGAAATCTCATTCATGTTTAATTTTAGACCCCTCTGATGGTCTAAATCAAAGTTTCTTCTGAAGCCTTTGTGTTTGTGAGGCAATGCAGGAGTTAATGGCTCTTATTAATACCGTTTTGCTCTCATTTACAGAATTATAAGAGATCATGGCCTGATCAACCTCAGAAAATTTCAGAGTGAGTATCAGGTGTACCTGCTTCAGTCCAAAGTGGCAAAACTTCACACATTCAGCATTTCCAGGTCACCAGTGTGGTTTATTCATGCTGGACTGTATTCAGATGGTCCAAATTCCAGCACATTTCCTGCCCCAACTGTTTCCAGCTGCCTGGCTCTAACTACTCCCAGCTCAGTGTTTTAGTTATTGCCTCAAAATTGCTCTTCAGAAGCATTTCAGGCTCTGCTGAGTAGGGAGAAGGGGGAGGAAGGTGAAATCCAGGCCCTTTGAACGCATCTCACTATTGTAAGAAATGACCAGACAGCATTTAAATATCACTGTTTGTGCTTTTAGGATTTTAAGGGCTGTGTGACTTTACTGCTTTTTACTCAGCAGTTTGTAGTCGCGACACAAAAACGCCCAAGAACGCGGAGCTTCGGGCGGTTCAGAGGCTGGGAGTCACTTCACGTTCCACAGACGTGTTTTCTCTCCACAGCAGGAGTGACGTCCCTTTTTTGTCCCTTTCTGGTGTCCCTCTTTCCCCCTCCCTGCAGTTTTGGAGAGGCGGTACCCGAAGGAGGTTCAGGACCTTTACGAGACCATGCGACGCTTCGCCCGCATCCTGGGCCCGGTGGAGCACGACAAGTTCATCGAGAGCCACGCACGTGAGTGTGGGGAGGGCTCCTCAGCAGGCACACCCAGGGCTGGGCATCACCTCATCCCCTAAATATATCCCACTCCTGGAGGGCAGCTGGTTGTTTTTCTCCTCCTCCCCCCTCTGACTACCTCAGAAAAACAAATACGTTTGTGGTTTGATTACATTAAATGAGCAGCAAGTGGGCTTTTTTTTCTGCTAAACTGTGTCCCAGTTCTTTCTTTGAGTTCTTGGTTGACTGAACATTCTGGTCATGTGTTAGAGGTGATATTTTTTTTTTATCAAAAGACCACTGTTTATTTACTGGGACTCTGTCTCACGGGAAGAACAAAATCCCTATATTATGTCCGTATGGAGGGATTGGGAGCTGGCAGCAAATTGTGAATTCTTTGAAAGATACAGGTTAAACTATTCTGTGTCACGTAATTACATAGTGCAGTGGTCATTATGTCCCTTACCTTAGGGGAGAGGCATTGTTCCATCCCTGAATCATCTCATGGCCTGCATTTAGGCAAATTCCAGAAGGAGTCACCACATCCTGCTTCATTCCGTGACTTAAACTGGGAAAACTGTTGCTCACTAGGAGGAACAAAGCATTTACAAAGTTGTGACTGTGTTTTCAGGACACCCTGTGTGAAATACCAAAAGCATGAACCTGCAAAATCACGAGTCCCATATGGGAGTGCTGCTCCTGCAACCTGGTTTTGTTGTTGTGGTGACAACAAATCCTCAGGTGAACCTGACAGCCAGGTACAGGCACTACACAGATCTCCTGAGCAGCAGGAGGAAACAAATTCACAAGGAAACTTGCTCCCTGTAAAACTGAGCAGGAGGGCAGCTGATAAAATATCTCTGAGCAAAAGAAATATCTCTGAGCAAAAGAAATATCTCTGAGCAAAAGAAACTTTTACTGATTTAATCCAACTGACTGCAAAAAACCTGTTGTCTGAAAGGAAAAATTTTGGAGGGTCCAGTTATGAAAATCATAGTTCTAAGAGAATATTAGATACATAAGGAGCCTGGCTGGAGGAGTGTTTCAAACTTACTGAAGTGCCTTCCAGAAATCCCACATTATTATTGTTTGCCTTGTCCAGGGTATGGCAAAGTGACTGTCAAGGCATGAAGAGAAAATAACTTTTCTGAGCACACACAAATGTTAGAAACCAACTTAAATCTGTGACCAGGGAGAGCTGGGACACAGTGGGTTTGAGATCCTGTGGAGGGAGGTTAACCCTGGCTGTGGTTTGTGTGCTCATAGCTGACCTGGTCAGCTTAGGCAGGTAAGAAATAGCCACCTCCCCAATCCACCCCACTGACCCACTTCTGTTCTTTGGGTTCCTCTCCTGCTTCCTCGTGGGGTCAAACAGTGGAGTTTGAGCTGCGAAGGGAAATAAAGAGACTCCAGGAATACAGAGCAGCAGGAATCACCAATTTCTGCAGTAAGTACCTGATGCATTATTCAGCCCATTCCCATCCATCACGGAGGGGAAGGATGATTTTACAACATTCAGGATGTGTTGAATAAAAAGACACTTTTTTATGAAAGGCATATGCCTGGCTCTGTGACTGAACAAGGCTTCAGGAATGATGCACAGCCCAGCTGGGCTGTTTTAAAGCTGGTTTGAGCCATCAGCTGGGAGATCCCACTGTCAGGCACAGCTCTGCTCTAGTCACCACTCTGCAAAAGATGCAGAGAAAAATATCTGTGCCATGGCACAGTGGTCTCAGGGCTTTTTCTCTGGACACTTTCACTGCCTGTCAGCACATGTGATATCTGGAGAGAAGCCTAAGACCTCCACTTAAATGAAATGGCCTGGAATTGGACCATGGAAGCCTTTTTTTGTTTGTTTTTGGCCTGAAATTAATGGGGGAAGGGGTGCAGGGTGGAATCTAATCCCTTCTGGTGCCAAGCAGTTGTCATGAGGGAGAACAGCAGAGCCTGGGCCAGAGCTACAGGGCTTCCCACTTATTCCCTAAAGCAGGAAGCAGCAGTGTGAGCACTGTGCCCGAGGCAGGTGCTGAGGAGGGGGGTGTGTTTGCCACAGGTGCCAGGACCTACGACCACCTGAAGAAGAGCCGGGACGAGGAGCGGCTGAAGCGCACGATGCTCTCGGAGGTGCTGCAGTACATCCAGGACAGCAGCGCCTGCCAGCAGTGGCTCAGCCGCCAGGCAGACATGTGAGCACTGCCACGGGGCCCCCAAGAACCTGCCCCATCCCTGGGAGTGTCCCAGGCTGGACAGGGCTTGGAGCAACCTGGTCTGGTGGAAGGTGTCCCTGCCCGGGGCAGGGGGTGGGATGGGATGAGCTTCAAGGCCCCTTCCGACCCAAACTATCCTGGGGTTCTGTGATTTAGTTAACATCAAACACATTTTCCTGTGTGATAATAACAAATTAATTCCCAATTTACTGCAGCAGGAACAAGCTGCAAAATTCAGAAGTGGGTCGTTAGTTGAGTGCAGGCGAGGAAGGGACTAAGGGCTCAAAACCCTCAGTTTTCTCTGGTTTATATTTCAGGAACTGAACTGCTGTTCATAAAGTCATGGAGGGAGATGAGGTCTTTATGGATATTAATGAGGGCACAGATGACACTTGGAATATTTCAAATGATTTTAGATGTAGCAGCATTATTAATGTGTCGTCACCCTGCATGAGCACTTTGATTTAAGGAGCAAGCTGCAACGTTAAAGGAAGTGCATCCTGTGTGCTGGAGATGGTTTGGAATTTCCCCAGTCAGTCTCCACTGAATTTGTTATTGTGTCCTCCTCCACATTTATTTTTTGGTGGTTTTTTTAACAAGTTTCAGACATGGTCTTCAGTGTAGGAGCACTAAATATTTAGAAGTCCTGTTGATTTCAGATCAGGACTTGGGCTATGCAAGTTGAATGGTATCATTATTAGAAGTTGGGGAAGAAGTACCTTCAAGGCCAATATATGCAGCCATTCTTTAAAAAAACATGAAGGCAATTTGAAATTTTCCTTTCTTTCCAGTGATTCTGGCCTGACTCCCACGGTACCAGTTCCTTCAACTACAGGTAGGTGTTAGATGATGTCTGATAAAAACCCATAATATCTTTCTGACAGCCTTTTTCTGACTCTTTCTCAAGTGCTAAAGTGTCAGTCTCAAGCCTCATGGTTAAGCACTGCTCAAGTCAACGTTACATCAATCTGCAGCTCATTCCACTTGCATATCCTGTAGGACTTTTCTCTGAATTTCTGGATTTTTCTGACTACAGGTCAAAACCCATCCTAAAGCTACATTAGCAAGGCAGGAAGCAAAAGAAACTTCACATTCTTTAAGCACAAATTCTGGGTTTTTTCCCACTATGAAGACCCCAACTTCTTTCAGTGCCCAGTAAGGACAGATTGGGGGACCAGTCAAGGTCCTCATGAACATACAAGCTCCCACCCCATTTGTTGAGGTCTCAGGGTGATATGCAGTGAATGAGACTGGGATAAAGTTTCACCATAAGGTTGTTAAATGTTGCCAGGGAAAACTGGCTTTAGCTCTGTCCCTACGCCCAGTTTTTATGTGGATGCTGGGAAACCACTTGAATCAAACTTCTCAGAGGTGGACACTGAGTCTGTGTGTTCTTCCTCATTTCTGCCAGGAGCCTTGGAAACTCGGGTCAGGATACCGAGCAATGAGTCAGTGTGCTGTGCACCGTGTTTTAAACATATTTGGTGATGGCTAAAATATGGTATTTTAGACAGAAAATAGCTTGTGTATCTCAGGGCATCAGAGTCCATGAAGTGAGGACAGTCTCTGCCAGCTGAAGGTCTGGAATGAGGAATGAACTTCCTTTTTTGTCAAGTACCCAGTGTCCCATGAAGGGGAAGAGCCCGGGAGCACATGGGCTGTGCTGCCTGTGGAGCTCTGATGGCACACAGTGTTTACAAGCAGCATCACATGTTGAACAGAACCCAAACAAAATACCATATAGCTGCTAATTAAGCAAACATCCTGCCTAGGGAACGGCGGGATGCTGCGGAAGAGCTGCCACGTGGCTCTAATTAAAGGCTGCATCACACTGAATATACAAGAGGGCAAATTAATGCCTCACTTCTAGATTTGGTGCTCTTAACTTTGCAGCCTTAACGTGTTGTCTTTAATGTAGTTTGTGTGTGTGTGTGTGGTATTTTCTGGGTTTATAAAAGAGTAAAACCAAATTCTGCTGCGTCTCATCACAGCACACTCGTTCCAGGCCTTGGGAAGAGGGAGCAGTGCTGGGAAGTAACTTCCTCTACACCTCCCACAGACTCACACTCCAGCTTCTCTAGTCCTTCAGTTCCCCTGATCACTCCCCACACGCAGCCAGATCCCGTCTGTTCCTGCAGATGCCCAGGAGACAGAGAGACTCCCCAGTGCCAGAGGCAGGCCCTGGACAGGGCAGGGTCTGGAGCAGCCACCAGCACAGGGAAAACAGAGCTGCCCATTTCCCAGGGTCTCATCACTTTGCCAGATTTGGGAAAGTCATCCTGGGATAGAGACCTATCTGTAACAGTGCTAAATATGCAACCCACAGCACAGGGGCAAGAGACTTTTAAAAATGTGAATAAATGACCCAAATTTTGTCCTGAGCTCTAGAAGTTAAGAAAAAATGCTATTATGCAAAAGAAGTCAAACCTGCAAGTAGACAGCCCTTGTGGAAGCTTAAGCTGTGCCAGTTACAGCCCAGCAAAATTATAAACAATAGTGAAAGTGAGAAACAGCAGATGACCTTGTGATAAATATTTCTTTCAGGACTGTTTATCGTAACAGACAAAAATAAACCTCCAAACTGCGTTTGCTTTACAGTATCTGCATTGTATTTAAAGGCATTTAAAGAAAACTCTGCCTCACGAAGTTGTCAGCAATACCAGAGAAATTGGCTGTGTAATCACACCAATAAATAATCTCAGCCTCCTTACAAGGCCCTGGTTTCAGGGCTGAGGTCGGTCCCGCACACCCTGGCACACCCTCCCTGAGCTGGTGGAGTTGGGTTAGTCAGGAGGCTCAGCCCAGCTGAGCCACACTCGGGGCCAGTCTGACAAAAGCTGCTGTCTTGCAGTTCCTCCCAAAATCCAACAGCACAAGAGTCTCATGCAGCATTCACAGAGCTGAACTATGTCCATTGCGACATCAAACCTTTTATCAATCAGCACAGCTTTATGCTAAGCCCTAAATAACCCTGTCTGTAAACACTTGGATCACTCTGGGTTAACGTCAGGCATTGAATTCCCTCCACAACACACCTCAGGAACAGCCAGGACCAAACTGCTCCCAGTTGCTGAGTGTTTCCTCTCTCACCCCTGCAGGCAGACGGAGCGCCCCACCTCTGAACCTCACAGGGCTGCCAGGGACAGAGAAACTCAACGAGAAGGAGAAGGAGGTGAGGAAAGATGGAAAGATCATCTCTACAAAACTGTACCTTCCCAGCCCAGGGCTGCTCACACCGTGTCTGGGGGGCTGTGAATGTCACCTCAGCCACAGGCCCAGATTGCTCTTCCTGCTCACAAAAATCATTCAGGTTTTCCAGTTGGCTTCTTAATTTCCTGTACCACACATCCAGCAGAGCTGCAGCAAACTGGCTGATTTAGCAAAGAAAGGTGCAGAGCACCAGGGTGTTTTTAGGTGCTGTTATAACATCCAGTGTGACACCCTCCCTTCCTGCATCGTGAGGCTGAGCAGAAGGGTCATTTTTTTCCTAATGAACACTGGTTATCAAACTGGCAGAGGATTTCCTCAAGGGCTTCACTGGACAGGTCACTGAACCTGAATATTGTGGGATCCTAGAACATCCTGAGCTGGAAGGGACCCACAAGCATTATCGAGTCCAACTCCTGGCCCTGCACAGGACACCCCAAAAATAGCAAATCTCCTTCTTTTATAGATACCTCAGAGCCAAACCTCAACCAGCTGCAGTGGGGTTTCACTAATGTGAACCATGGAGGTGATAACAAGTGTTCTTCTTGTGGTTTTTCCATATTTCTGCTTTACAGTGCATCTGTCAGGGATTCTATATGCACAGGTGGAAGGGCATGGGATCGGGCTGTCTGTAAGCCCTGAGTTGTTATCTCAGCCTTGTACTGCAGCTCACAGCCCCTTATAGGGCCCCTGCATTCACCTGAAGCACAGGTGAGATCACCAGAGCTGACAGAAATGGGGCTGCAGCCCCCAGGACAGGTGAACATGCAGCAAGGGGCCTGCTGTGCATTTATGACTCAGCTTTTCAGCCCAGTGTAGCCCTGTCCTCTAATTCAGTGGAAAACTACTGAAATAAAAGATTATTATTTTTTAATAGAAGTCCTAATCTGTCCTTGTATTGCCCAGGGCAGATTGCAGTGCACATGAGGCACAGCTGTATTCCAGCCTCTCCCTCCATGTGCGTGTGCCCTTGGCTGGAGCTGGCAGCACTGGGAGAATCAGCTCCCAGCTCCACGTGGAACGGGCATTTCTGGCTCTATTCGGCACAGAAACAATGGTGACAGGACATTAGTGGGGGGGGGAGTCTGATTGCCTCCTCAGCTGAGACAGAAAGTCTGAGGCCCCGGGAATTCTGCAATTTCCTATCAGGGAGGGACGAGCATGAAGCATTTCCTCACTAAGGAGAGGAGACAGGCAGGATCCCTGGTGGGAGCCACGCCGTGCTCCTGGAAGGCAGCTGGTGCTTGGGAACTAAACAGGAGCTGTGCAGCCATACAGCTCAGGGGCTGTGGAAAGCAGTTCCTTACCAAACTTCCACACATGGAATGCCCTCCCTGCACAGCTCCCATCCCAGGCTTCCGGAGGGGCCGGCGGAGCTGCTTGTGTGGAAGGTATTAAAGCCCGACTCTGCAGGGGATTAGCAGCCAGATGCCCTCCCTGGCTCCCGGCCAGCGGGCCCAATTGCTGCTTGCAAGTCTGGCATCTGCTTCCCGGGGTTTGGAAGGAGCAACGCCCACACAGAACACACTCAGAGCTGTGCTCCTGCCAGCCCAGGGCTTGCTTTCATCCTCCTCCTTTATTTTTCAGTCAGGAATGTTTTTTGAATGCAGCAGCCAGCAAGCTCCTCCCCTCCCTACCTGTGGATCCAAGCAGCTCCTCCTGCCATTCCCGTGTGCCTCCCCCGTGCAAAAAACACCACGTTGGAAGTGTTTGCAGAAAAATATTCCCCGTGTTCCTCCCCCAGCAGGGATCTGGGAATGGAGGAGCATGACAAGTGTTGGTGTTTATTAACTTCACCTTTTGTCTTGCAGCTCTGTCAGATGGTGAGGTTGGTCCCTGGAGCCTATTTGGAATATAAAGCTGCTTTAGTGAACGAGTGCAACAAACAGGGGGGCCTGAGACTGGCGCAGGCTCGAGCCCTCATCAAGATCGATGTGAACAAAACCAGGAAAATCTATGACTTCCTGATCAGAGAAGGATACATCACAAAGGCCTGAGGACAGGCAGCTTTGGCTGGAGCAGGCAGATGCGGAGAAGCTTTGAAGTCACTTTGACAGCGCTGAAAGATTTTACCAGTGTTGAATGAAGGACATTTCCTTTTGTTTGAAACCTTTCGGGGCTTTTTTTTTTTTTTTTTTTTTTTTTTTTTGGTAAAAACAAGTAGGGAGCTTTGTTAAATTGTATGAATGCTGACATTTCTTTGTCTGGGTTCCTTTTGACTCTGCTGTTGTCAGAATTCCTCTGCCTCGGAGTGCTGGAAAGGATCACATGCCATATAAGCTAACCTTAAACGTGGATGGGCATTGATTCCTCACACCTCTGTGACTGCAGAGCATCACGGTACCTTTGTGCTGACAGTGGCACAGAATAAGGCCAGAATAAGTCCCACTTCGTGCAGTACAGGTATAGAAATGCAGTCCCCTCCCTCCCTGTGCTCCTTCCTAAATCGGTGGCAGCTTTCAAAGGTGACAGCACGTGCCCCAGTTATAAAAATAGAGCTTGCAGAGGTCCGGCCTTTTTAACTTAATTGTGATAAAGGATGGGAAAGGACATCGCAGGGAGTCTCCTCAACAGTTGTTACTTTTATGTGGTATTAGCACATATCCCAGCAGGAGGGCACTGCACAACCCAATGAGCTTCAGCTCCTCGCCTCTTATTTGGGATTGTCAAATTATATATAATCCCCCGGTTTCAGTCTTCGACTTGTTGGGAAGGCTGGAAATTACAGCCACTGCAGCCTTTGGGAACAGGAATAAAAAGACACTCAGAACTCAACGTTCTCCCACAGAAATTAAGGAGTGAAGAGCACAAAGCTCCTGTTGTGGGGTTTTACTCCCTCAGCCTTGTCAGCAGCTTGCCCACTGACCAACAAGCAGTGAGGAGGAGCAACAAGTTACTGAACACACAACCCCCCCATCAGTACAGAACATTTGGATTTGGCAATAATTGGATGATGAAGATGGTTCTTTGCAGATGCAGCTCGGCGTGGCTTATTGCACAGTAAATTGTTTGTCAGACTGCTTCCTGCTAAGGTGTAATGCTGGAATAATGTCCCATAGAAAACCTGACAAACTAAAGCAAGTGGCGTGTTGGCTCTCAAGTTTGGGATCTCATGGAAAAGATTAAGTGAGCCACAACTACACCGATACCTGTTTAAGGGGTTTGGGTTTGGGTGGTTTTTTCCCCGAGAGTAATTATCCTGTGGACCTGAGGTGCCACTGAATGTGAAGTATTTTGGTTTGTAATAAAATCAAAATGACTTGAAACAATCTTACATCCACGTCCCTGGACTCGGAGGGAGACTGTAAAGGTCACGCAGCTGCCTGGATCTGTATCCATCAGCTTCTCACCAGGAGAGGGGAGATAAACGCACAACAGCAGCTGTGGGGATGGGACGGCTGCACTTCCTAGAAAATAATGCTATTTAAAGAAAAGCAGCAGTAATAAACTACATGTTGAAGATTAAAGTCTGTAGAAATTGAGACTCTATAACTGGGAATGCTGAGGGAATGACACGGTGAGCTGTAATGCCTTGGGAATGTGTTTCCCACTTTTAACATTAAACAGCCAAACTGCTTTTCCTTTGCCCGGCCTCCTGTGCCGTGAGTTGCACCAAAAAGCCGTAGAGGAGCCAAAAACTCCAGGACCTGCTGGGACCATCCCGGGATCAGCCACATCCTCACCCGCTCAGTGACATCCCTGTGCCCCAAAGGGACCCGAACAGGCCCGTGAGTGTGACCTGCTGCCAGCCCTCACCACGGCCACGGCCCCACAGCCGTGTGGCCCCACACACCCCACCGAGGCACAGCCACCAGAGACACCCCAACAGCAGGATTTGGGGTACGGATCTGCTTGTCACATCGGCTGGGGCCATTTCCCAACACTCCGGGAAGGTGGTTTTTTTGGGAGAAAAGCTGCCCTGAGCTCCCGGCTGCCTCTCCGGCCCCTCCTTTAAATCCCAGCTCCTCTCCTCACAAAATGTCTCCGTCACCGCGTTCCAGACCCGGCTCCCCGAGCTCGCTGTCGCCTCGGTGTCACTCAGAGAGGCTTGGAAGGGGGATGTATCTTTATCTGGGAGGCGCCGTGCGCAGCTCTGGCACTGTGTAAGTAATTAACACTGATGAAAAGTTGGGGTTGCCATGGATATGCTGCTCCAGTTACAATGCGCGTCTCTCCCCCTGCCCAACCCTGCAGCCCCCCGGGGGGATCAGAGCCCCGTTCACTGCCAGGCCGGGGGGTGGTTTTGACTGGGGGACTCTTAAGGGTGAGGCAGCCAGCTGGGATGTCGGGGAGGATGGTGGCTACTCCAGCTGCTCCAGCCCTTGACACTGTCCGGCTCCTCTGGATACTGGCTTGGGAAGCAGCACCTGAGGTTTCCATGCTGCCCTGCCTCACCCCAACACAGGCTCCCTGGACAGCTCCTGCCAGCGAAAAGAAACACAAGAAAAAGCTCTTTTTGAATACCTCAAGCTGACCATTCATGCCTTTACTGTAAAAAAAGGAAAAAAGCCCCAAACAGTCCACACATTCCTTTTTTAAGAGCTTTGCTGCTAATGGGCCCGCACTTCACCTCACCTGTTCTAGTGGAAGGTGTCCCTGCCCATGGCAGGGGGTTGGAACTGGGTGAGCTTTAAGGTCCCTTACGACCCAAACTGTTCTGGGATTCAATGATTCTATGATTCATACCTGCCTTGAGTTAGCATTACACACCTGCCTAGTGCTAGTTTAGGGGGGAGGAATTAAAAAGAAAGGGAAAACAAAGGGAAAACCTTCAGCTGGGGGTTGTTTCAGTGGGCTGCTGTGTGGGTCCCACACACAGAGCACTCCGGGAACGCCAAGCCCTCACTACACACCATGGGCTCACGGCTGAGCTTAATTAGAGACTCAGGTGAACATGAAAGATTAAATATGGAACAAGGCCGGGGACTGGCAGGAGATGGGCTGTTTGGGATCTCGGGACCTGCAGAATTAGTGACACCAGGGCTGGGGTGACGTGGGAAGGCTGTGGCTGCTCCAGCCCAGTGCGGGCTTAGTCACCACTAATGAGGTATGTGCGGGATGAGTCTTCTTCGGGGCTGTGTTACCCGCCTGTCATTAAAGCATCAGTGCTGGGGGATTTTTTGGGACTTACAGCTGCCGTCACACCAGCAGCAAATGCACTCGGCCTGCTGGTGACTCAGCCCGGGAGGTGGGGGCTGCCTGGAGCAGATCCCGGGGGCTTGTGCCGCCCCGGCACAGCACGGGCTCCCACCAGCTCCCACCGCGCTCCCCACGGCTGCCCAGCGGAGCAGATAGCGCCGATAACGAAGGCATGAGAAGCTCTAGTTTTAGTGCCTGCTCAAATTCCCATCAGGTTGGGCCTGTGAAACCTAAACCACCTCCTTGGGAGACAAACACCGCGCTGGAACGGCGGCTTTCCAGCCGCGGTTGGAGAAACCCCAGAGCTGCCGTCCTGGGAAAGGGAAAAATCCAAACCACGCAGCAGTGCCCCATGGTGATCTCTGCCCTGCCAGCAAACTGGCTCGGTGACCTGCCGGGAAAAACCAGCACAGATTTATCGGTGAGTGTGGAGAAAGCACTCACAGTGACACAGGAAAAGCAGACGCGTTCCCGCTGCGCTCCCCGTGACTGCAGCTGATGGAGAGTGTCGGAGAGCGAACCCACCAGCAGCCTCATGCACACAAATGCCTGCAGCCCCCATCCCCCTGTGCCCCCATCCCACCATGGAGACGAACATGCTTCCACAGAGGAACCACAAGCCAGCCCACACACACCAGCCGTGTGTTGTCACTCCACGGCAGCGCTGGGCCAGGACTGTGTGGGAACCCAACAGGTGAGACAGAGTAGGGAAGAGCATGAGGAAACCAGAGATGGGGTCAAGCAGCAGTTTGGAGCACACAGGTGTCCAGCGTTTTGGGTCTCTGCCCCACTGCAGGCTCTCAACAACCCCGAGCAAGGATCACCCTTTGCTCCAGGGAACACACCCTGGGATTCCCTGAGCTCTCCATACAATCACCAGCATCTCATTTCTTCTGCAAAGCCTGTCTGGAAAGTCAATGTTTTATGAACCAGCATCTGCAGACACCAGCACTCCCCAGCCCTTCCCATAAAATGGGGATGGGAGCTCGGAGCACCCTGTGCAGTGCTGGAGGGACAGGCACTGCCAGAGCACCTTCCAGGCTGGGCTTCCAGGGGATGTCTGGGGAATCTGGGATGGGGTGAGCCCCCAGCTCAGCTGGCCAGGAGGCAGGCAGTGATGTGCAGGCTGGGATGGGGGGGAAGGGAGGGAGCCTTGGTGGGAGAGGCAGAAGGAGCAGCGAGCGCCTTTGGGGAGGCTGAGCTGCCAGGCCACGTCAGTCACCAGCCCTCACTGCCCAGCCTGGCCACAGAGTCTGTCCTGGGGTGTGGGGAGGGGGTCAGGGAAGGACACAGAGCATCCCCTCTGGGCCAGGCCGGAGGCACACATGGCACAGCTCTGGCTGCACAGCCCCGTGACTCAGCGGGCGAGTGCCCGATGGAACTCACCCCACCCTCCCGAGGCCAAACAGCACCCAGGCACCCTCTGTGCCCAGCATCTCCCCGAGGGAGCTGCTGAAACACAGCCCATACCACGGGGTCCCTGCACAATGCACCATCCCTGCACCCCTGCTACTGAGGGGCCTCTTCAATGCAACAAACACACAGTGGAGCCGTGATCCTGTGGAGTTCAGGGTCACCCAGAGCCCGTCAGAGGGAAAACTGGCCTTGGGGCACAGGCAGCCCGACCAGGTGTCCAGGAGCAGGCAGGAACCCTGGGATGCATGGGCAGGGCACGAGGATTGCCCCATGGCCGAACACAGCCGGGTGCAGCACACCCAGGCTATGGGAATGCTTCCCGCTTCACCCGCTGGCCCTGTGAATCACAGCACCCATGGATTTGGAAATGATCACACATCCTCACAGCCAACTGCACCTCGGCCACATCCCAGGAGCCCCTCAGCCCAAATCCCCCTGCCCAGGGAATGTGGCCGTGGACTGGGATATGCTGCCCCTCTGCTGCTTGTGCTCCTGGAAAGGGATCAAACCCCTGCCGTGCTGTGACTGCCCTGTGGTGCTGTGAAATCCCTGCGGTGTTGTGACATTCCTGCCTCCCCGGCGAGGCCTCTGCTGACCCACATTTGGCCACTGAAATCCCACGTGGTGACCCAAGCTCGGGTTTTGTTCTCTCCCATTAAGGAGCTGCAGCTCAGGGATCTCTGCTCTGCGCTGTCACCTCGCATTGAGCGCCAGGCGGCCGATGGCTCCGCGCCTGGATTTGTCCCTAGGAGATCACTCCCGCCTCCCTTGGGTCCCTGCCGCCATCAGGGAGGCCAGGAGGGGAAGGCAGCACCCCAAAATCATGCCACAGCCCCCCTGAAGGCCTCCAAGGTGCCATTCAGGTGGGCTGCGGGAGCTGCCAGGACACTCAGTGCCTGTCACACTGTGGTTTGACCACCCTGGATGGAGTTGTTGCTCCCAAAAACCAGGAGGTCCCAGTCCCTGGGCTTTTTGCCTCACATAAGGACCTTTTTTTACATCACACCCATGCAGGCGGTGGAAGGCGGGGAAGAGTAAACTCTGGCGTAGCCATGGAAACTGGAGAGGATGGATGGATGGATGGATGGGTGGCGGCGGATCCAGGCACTGCCACAGCCGTGCAGGAGGCAGCCACCTGCTCCCCACTCAGCCTGCGTGACCCTGAGCACACCTTGATACAGAGCAGGAGAACACCCGGTGATTAAGGTAATGGCCCTAACGACCAGTTAATGGTCTGTGGTCGGATGCTCCCTTCGGGAATGTGCCCGGGACCCACGGACCCAGCAGGGTGCGGATCTGCCAGGCTGGGCTGGGTAAGGTGGGTTTCACAGATTCACAGAATATCCCGAGCTGGAAGAGACCCACAAGGATCAGAGTCAAGTCCTGACCCTTCCGACACCATCACCCCCAAAGGCACTATGGGGTGCCATCAAGGGGGGCTGGTCCTGCTTCAAGCATCTTGTCCCCACACAGTCTTTGAAACTTTTCCAATAGATGCACAGTTCCTATGGGAAGGGGGAAAACCTGCCCACAACACCATGTGTGCCTTACAGAAGAGCTGCTGCTGCCCTACCTGACCTGGGCTGTACCTGGTGGGAGCACGGGCTGCCTTCCCAGGGCTGGGGGTCCCACAGAGGCCCTGCTGTCCCCCCATACCAGGGCAGAGAGCGAGCAGGTACCTGAGAAAGCACCCACTGCCCAGCCCCTCCCCTGTGCTCAGGAGCAAACCCTCACTGTCCCACCTGCCCCTTGTACATCCATCCTGGCCAACACTGTTGGCAGGAGGGGTGGGGGCCACCAGCAGCCCCCAGCCACCACTGAGTGCCCCCAGCTCCCAGGAGTGAACCCTTGCCCAGGGTTCAGTGTGGGGAGGAGCTTTGTTCCCTGCTGTCTTTGCTGTGTCCCTGGGTCAAAGGCCTCCCAAGTTTCCCTCTTCACATCTTCTATCCCACACTACGAACGCATAAAACTCCCGGCAGGGTGAAGGTTAAAAACACGAATTACACCAGCATTGAAATCACCTGTGCAGTTGTGTGAGTAGTTAAAAACCACCCAGGACAAGGAACTGGAGCTGTGCAAGAGCCTATTTCTCATTCAACAGTGATGAGGGGGAATGAGGGGTTTAGATAGTTGGGGAGGGAACCCCAGAGGCTGCAACCCCAAAATCCATCCTTATTGTTCCCTGTGCTGCCTGTGGCCAACACCACCCCAGGTTTGCACCGCCAGGGCTCCACTCTCCAGCCAAGGGCACAGTGCCCCGACCTCAGCTCTGGGGGGACACCCCAGGGGGCTCAGCTGTCTCTCAGCTTCTCGTGGACTTGTGATCACCTGGGGATTCTTCTCTGCCCCCGAGATGGTGCAGCTCCAAGGAAGGCAGCAGAGGAAGAGCAGAGCTGATGCAACACGGAGGCAAAGCAAACCTTGGAGCTCAGAGAGCCAAAACCCTCACATTTTCATTTTTTGGCCTTTTGAGGTTTTCTTAATTTGTCTATTTTTGTTCCTCGCCCACCTCTGCGCTGAGTGTGACGCGAGCCCTCGCTGGAGAGGCAGGGTTTTAAGGGAGAGCGCTGGCTGTTATAAAGCAGTGAAGCTCTTGGAAAAACAGCCTCTGGAGCAATAAACAGATTTGGAGCTGAGGGCTGTGAGGGACGGCTCCATCTGGGCTGCTGAGTCATGAAACCTGCCCGAGCGAGATACCAGCCGAGGGCTCGGGCTGGGGGAAGCTTCCTATTAGGGATTTTGGCTATTTCGGTCTGAGCGTGCGACAGCAAAACCGGAGAGCGGACAAAAGCGGGCTGGGGTGGCCACGCTTCGCTCCAGCAGCTGCGGGGTTACGGTGGAGGCTGCCCTCCTCCTCCTCCTCCTCCTCCTCCTCCTCCTCCTCTTCCTCCTCCTCTCCCAGTGCCAGCCTTGTCCCATCCCTGCCATGGGGGTGAGGTGGTGGGAGCACACCCTTCACCTTCACCCCCCAGTTTCCAGCCATACTCTCCCCTTTGCCATGCGTATTCCCCAGCCCCCGGCATCCATCCAGAACGATCCCAGCCTATGGCATCCCTCTCCAAGGACCTGAGCCCACTCTGACATGGGCAAGGGTCCAGCCTGGCCCCCAGCACGGTGCCAGGAGGAGCCCTGGGAGTGAGGGTCCCCCGGGCCACCCACCATTCCTTTACCCTGCTCCCAGCGTCGGGAGGAACAGTGGCTGTGGCTTGGGATGTCCTTGTCACAAAAAACAGGCTTCTCTCTGTCCTAGGGCTGACCCCCTCCCCACCGGGCACCCACCGAGCCAAGGGATTTGTCCCCACGCGCTGGCAGGGTTCCCACGGGGACGTGACATGTCCCATCCCTAACAGGGGATGTCATGGGCCCTGCCACATCCCCGCATGCTGCCGTGTCCTCAGTGGGACCCTGCCACATCCCCATGTCCACAGGGATCCTCTCATGGCCCCAGAGGGGCCCCACCATGTCCCTTCATTGACTTTGACACATCCTATCCCCACAGGACGCCTGTTATGTCCCCACAGGGACCCCTGCTTGTCCACAGGGACTCCATCGTGTCAACAAAGTCTTATTCCCACAGGAACCACGCCACATCCCCATTGGAACCCACACTTGTCCCCATCCCCACGGGGACCCCGTTATGCCCCCACTGGAACCCTTACTTGTCTCCACCCCAACAGGGCCCCCCCACTTGTCCCCACACACGGTCCCATCCCTGCAGGGATCCCCACTCGTCCCCACACAGTCGTATTCCCGCCGCGTCCCCATCCCCGCAGGGCCCCCCTGCCCCACACACAGCCCCTTCCCCACAGGGGCCCCGGCGGCGGCGGCGCCTTTAAGCGGGGCCGGTCTCCCGGAGCCCCCGCCCGGGGGCCGGGCCGGGCCGCCCCCCGTAGCCTGGTAACGGCGGCTCGGCGGGCGGGGGCGGCCCCGGCACCGCGGTCAGGTGGCACCGCCGAGACGGAGCCGGCCGAGCACGATAAAAGTCCCGGCCCGCCGCCGCCGCCACGGCCGCGAGGGAGCGCGGAGCCGCCGCCGGAGCCATGGTAGGGACGGGCCGGGGCGGGAAGGGGGGAGCCGGGGCACGGGGAGGGGGCTCGGGCTGGCCCCGCGTGGCCGGGCTGCGGGGCCCCGCCGTTCTTCGCCGTTCCCCGCCGCGTTTCCAGCGCCCCGCGCTGCCCCCGGCCCGCCCCGGCCGCTCGCGGTGCCCTGCGGGGGGACCGCCGGAGCCCCCCGGCTCTGCCCGCACGGGCGGGACGGGGCCGAGGGGATCCCGCCCCCCGCATCCCTCCGGAGCGGGCGGTGCGGGGGCTGTGCCCGCTCAGCGCCCCGCGGATGCGGCCCCGCTGCGCTCCCGGCCGGGGCCGCGCTGGGACGGGGCAGCGGCGGCTCTGCCGGGGGTGCCCGAAGGAGCGGGGCGCGGCAAGAACCCGGCGGCCGGTGCTCAAACCCCGGGTAAGCCCGGCGAGGGAGCGGGGTGTCACCTCGGAGCTGCACCAGAGCAGCCCGGGCAGAGCTCGGGTGGTTCCTCGACGTGGAACCAGCCCCAGCCCCACCGCGGGCTCTGCCGGAGCGGGGCACCCGTCCCTGCCTCCTGCCCTGGACACTTCCCTCTCAGCATCCGTCCTTGGATCCTGCCCTGGGCACCTCCAGGTCGGCACCCATCCCTGGATCCTGCCCTGGGCTCTTCCCTCGCAGCATCCATCCTTGGATCCTGCCCTGGGCACCTCCAGGTCGGCACCCATCCCTGGATCCTGCCCTGGGCTCTTCCCTCTCAGCACCCATCCTTGGATCCTGCCTTTGGCACCCCCAGCTCTGCACCCATCCTTGGATCCTGCCCTGCGCTCTTCCCTCTCAGCACCCATCGCTGGATCCTGCTCTTGGCACTCCCCTCTTAGGACCCCTCCCTGGCTCCTGCCCTGGGCACCCCCTGCTCTCAGGGCACGCTGGTGCCACCAAACCCCGGCTCGTGCCTGCGGCTGCCCGGCCTCTCATCCAGACGGGTTGTGTGCGTGGCCCTTGACTCAGCTCCGGAGCAGCTGCTTTGAGCAACACCAGTAATCAATGAGTGGCATTTGGCTGTAGGGAGATGGGGCAGGATTATAACCTGTTCGACTGGGCAGCAAATGAGCCTTTTATTCTGGAGGTTTGAGTGTCGGCAGATGCCCTAATATCATGTTGCAAGTTCGGTTTATCCCTAATGCCCCTGCCACAGGAATGGTGGAGGATTAGCACTGACAAAACAGTTTTCCCTGATGATACACTAGATCGGCCGTCCCTGCTCTGGCAGGGAGTGGATTCCTCCCCCGGGCCTCGCTGTAAACCTTGGTGTGTGCTTCGTTCCGGTGGTTGGGATGAGCTCTGTGGCACTCTGGTTCCCAAGGAATGAGAAAGAAGGGTCCCTAATTCTGGGGGCACCGTGCTGCTCCTCACTGGCAGAGATCTGCCGCCACGACTTGGCTGATGTGACCCTGCTGAACGTCGGGGGAGCAGTAATGCAGCAGGTTTTAATCGATTTATGCCCGGAAGGTGTGAACGTGCAGCTCTGCCTGTCCTTCCTGCCCCCGAGGGCTCGCCTGGGTCCTGGGCACGGGCACGGACATTCCAGTTTCCTCCAGGAACAGAGGTGAACTCTCAGGGATTTGATCTGAGCCTTTGCTGCGCTGCAGGGTCTGCTCTAGGCTTTGGCACCGCTTCCGTGTGTTGGTCAGGGCAAGATGGAAATTTGCATGGCTTAATTCAATACCTGATCCCAGCTGGAATCTTGGAGCTGGAAAGGCAGAGAGCTCATGCTGCTCTAGTGCTAGAAATGCACAGGGTGTGGGGGAAACCTTCTGTCTGAGCCAGACGTCATGGGAGGGAGGAAAGGGATGCAGAGCCTGCTCAAGAAAGTCTCAGACCTCTACTCTGAGAGTCGGTACCAGCTTTGTCCCAGGGAAGCAGCCACCTGCACATCTGGGCATGCAAAAAGAGGTTGGGAATGAGGAGAAGGGAGAAGGCACCTGGGCATGGCAGTGGGTACCAGGAGCAGCTTCTCTCCCACTCACCACACACTGGCCCCACCAGAGCTGTTTACACGAGGCTGTTCACCAGAGAAGCCTTCCAGGCTTCCTGCTACCACCTTCCTTCCAGGGTGGCTTTCCCTAGAAGGTGGGGTAATGCCTCAAACCAGGCACGGGAGCTTCTCCCAGCCCCTCCTCTCCGGGCACACAACCCTCACCACACCCCCCCCCCCCATTTATCACTTCCAAAAAGACACTTTGAGCGACCATAACACAAAGGGAAGTGTGAGCATGTAGCAGAGAGGGCTCTGGCATTTGGAAACAGCTGAGAAATCTCTGAACAGCAGCCCCAGCTCCCTGAATGCTTGGGAATGAAGCTGGAGAACTGGAGGCAGATACATTGCCCACACTCCTGGGGCACCTCTAGTGCAGGCAGCTTGTGGGCTCAGCTCTGTGGCTACTCCCTGCTTTAAAAATAATATAAAATAGTAATAATCAGGCAAATTTGAGTTTCCCATCAGGAAGGAGCAACAGGTGCTGCCATGCTCACCACAGCAGGGTGGGTTGGGGTGTCTGGACTGATGGGACTTTAATTGTCCCTGTTTCCACCATCCCACCCCACAGAGGGGGGTGGTTGTGGATCCTTCCCTTTGGAGGAGGCTGAGCAGCAGCTCAGGGAGGGGAGAGTCCTTCATGGAGGAAATGTGGATTTACACAGTGTCCCTAAAAAATGCCACTCCCCCAAGCCTGAAGCAGCTGGAATGACCTCCTGGGAGGTGTGGGGTGCTGGCCCCGTGCTGCTTGCACGGGAAGCAATCGCTGCCTCGTGTAAACTTGATTTCCCCCCAGCTGATTAAAACTGGCCTCTCTTCCTGTTACCCTGCACAACCCCATCGGTGTGCTCAGAGGTGACCTCATTCCTTACAGCTGCTGTGGGCACATCCTGCTGTCCTCCCTTCAGCTGCACTGCCCTGTGCCCAGCTCCTGCCTGGCCTTGGGAAGCGTGGGGAAAGCATGGGCAGCCTCTGCCCAGCAGGAATTCCTCCAGTGAGGGTTGTGTCACCGTCAGGTTTATCAGGGTGCCAGGCTTTGGGACCCCCATGAGAAGTTGGGCTGTTCAGAGCGTGCACCAGTTGGCACTGCCCCTGGAAAAGGCCCGGGTGAGCACCAGCATGGAAGCACCTGGCCGTTTCCAGGACACGTTGCAGTGAATTTGCAGCTGCCTTCAATTTGATGGGGTTTGGGGTGGGCTGGGGCAGAGCCCGGCCACAGCAGCAGCAGGCACAGCCCTGGGCCCGGCAGGGTCACACACGAGCAAACACACCAGGTCCCTGTGTTTTGTTCGGCTAACAGGGAAGAGATTGTGTCCCTCCTGTCAGCTGTGACTGCGCAGGGCACGGCTCCGGAAAAAACAAGGCTCCATCTTGCAGCACCCCGGGAGCTGGAGCCAGGCGTGGGTCTGCTCCCTGAGTGTGCCCCTCTCCTCCCCATCCACATCCCCCCCGGGTCACACTTGGACACAGGGAGCAGGGGATGGAGCAGGGGAGCTTTCCCAAACTCCGCATGCAATCCAGATGCCATCAGCTGGTGCTGAAATGATCTGTGGTGCTTCACAGCAGACAATCGGGGCTGGAAAA